CACTCCGTTATGTTTTGAAAATCTTTTTATCTCTCCAATCAAGAGGAGAAGAATGTTTATGCACCAAATTGTCATTACAAAAGATTCAACTAGCGATTTAGCCTTTTGTTTTTGCTTTTACATCCACTACTTGTCTAATATATGCGTCTATTCTATCTGCTCTTGTTTTGATTTATCTTACTCACGGTATACATTGTCCAACATACTAAGCAATGGACCTTTTGATCTTAGCATCTTCCATTGCACATATTTCGTAATTAAGCTAATTTGGTAGTAAATGCCCAAAACATGTCTAAGGGCCTTCATTAGATTCAAAGGCATCGAGCTCTCAAGTAGTCATAGCCTGTTCCATCCTTTGGGTGGTTCCAGTTTATTTACTTTAGGTGTTTAATTTACTCACCAGTTGTTTCTAGTTTCTTAAGACAACTTCGTAAAATTCTAAGCTCTAACTGGTTTAAGCTGTTTACATAATTTCAGTGATATACCATTTTAAAGTTTATTAAAACACACCAATTCCTTTAGACAATATGTACAACCAGTATGTTTGGGGTACAAAACTTTGGTTACATGGATTGATAATTCCTGCAAATAACGTAGAGAAGTGAATTTCATTGTCCGACAGATGAAAGGAAAGTAGTTATTCGAAAGACATTCATTATGAACAGGAAGACTGAAGTACTTGTTAACTACTAGCCACTACGTAATCATTAACTGAGATGTAGTAGCATTGTATTTCACTTTCACAAAGCATTCACTTCCCAGTATGTACTGTTATACAAAAATTCCATGCATTGGGATAAAATTGGGATGAATACTATCCATGCCTCTTTGAGGTCAAGCAAATTTGCTTTAGTGATCAATCGCAATTGGTTAACCACATAGGTTCCCATGTTTTCTGCCGTAAAAAGTAAGAATTCATGTTTAACTCTGCCTTTTGGAACGCAAGTAACCTACGTTTATTTTTTACATTTTATCTAGAATGACTTAGCTCTCTAAATGCTCAATCACGTTACTAATCTATTTACTACTACCACATTTTAATGTCTATCTGATTAGGTACTCCGATCGGTTCAAAATATACAAACTTTTACTTCATCTTAGTCAAGACGCTTCGTTTGACGGTTTCACAAATAGCCATGGATGCCTAACTGCAGGGAATGTCAGGCACCAGAGATGCCTACGAGAATTTGTCCCCAGATGGCCTATGCATTTTACCAAAATATTACTTGAAATGTTGAACATTGTGGGCATATTGGGGAGTACAAGAGTGGAAAAGCTGCTCGCACTTGTGGTATGGCTAAGCTCTTCTTCAGCTTGATTGTGTGATTTCTGTGGTTGTTGGTGTTGATCGGTGATTATCTAAATGTTAAAGAAAGATTAACAGAATTAGTAATATCAAGAATAATAGTCATGAGTAGAATTTGCCAATAAAAAGTCCAGGTGCTCTCAGTGAATTTGTGAAGAAACATGGCTGGGTAAAGTTTTGAAGCCTGTATGCAAAGTCATAAACGTCATGATTTAAAAAATAAGAATTTAATCACTCATATTCAGTGAGCACAAACCACTGACTTACAGGTCTGCTGGCTTCTCATAAATTCAAGATGATCCCCTCCAGGTTAATTTAATGAAGCTTACAAGTACTCTTATGGATGAGGAAATCTTGGCAACGAAGATAAAGAAACCGGTCTAATTACTAGCTCAGAAGGAGACGCCTTGCCGTGATGCAGGCACTTGAAAACGCATACGCGCACACCTGTCTATCGCACCGAAATGTGGTACGCCTGTGGCAGTGCGTGTCTATGGTCTTCTTACCGCACCAAGCGCACACACACGCGCGCAGCATGCAGGATTCAGGCGCAGTTTCAGGCACACAGCCATTACAAGCACTACTTCTCGTCATTGTTTTGCAGACGTATGTGCATGCACGCGCACACACACGCAAGCCACATCATCAGGCGCCTCGACGTGTAGCCCCAGCGTCGTCCCATTTCAACAGTCCTCTCACTTCCTTCGAAACTCCCATTGTGACGACGCCGGTGTACACGCACTGGAAACTATTATTTCCCCGATCGGCGGAATTTATAATTTCCGAACACTTCTCAATTCTTCTGCTCGCTCTCAGGGATCACACATACGTGAACACTTACATGCACTCATACGCCAACGGGCATCTCAGAACGCGCTCCATGTAACTTGCGTAAGTCTCACTGTCCTCTCACGCCAAACCCTTTTTTGGTTCTCGAATCATAAAACTATTATGCCTGTCTTGTACGTGTGTATGTAAATCTGTTTCAGTTCTCCAATGTCATTTACAAATCTTAGTGTATTTTTCTCTAAGCAGATGATTAGGTCTGAACAACGAAGGTAGTATTTGATGCTTGAATGTGTACTTTTGGGTGTGTGCGTGCTCCAGGATGGAATAAGTTAATTCAAGACGTAATGTTTTGGCAGTCGTGACTTTCAGGTAGTTCAGGGCGTTGGAGTCTCCGATTTCTGACTCTTACCGCAGTGCCCAAAATTTCTGCCCGTAAATCACAGTCAACCAGTCTAATGGCATGTTTTTACAATATTTTGGACTTTTTTCAGCTTCTATTTACATAAACAGGAGGAGATGGATACATTGTAGTCGAGCGAGTTCGCACAGAAATTTTTTAGCTGTATTTTGGAAATCTATAGATCACACAACTACTTTATTTTACTGCTCCCTTCAAAGTGTTATAAGCAGCTGGCATTTCCTGCTTACTTTTGAGTTTACTCTAATCCAAGACATATCATCTATGCCCGATTTGCTGTGACTTCACTTATTTTTTTTCGTAAATAACAAACCGAGACAAGTGCCAAGAATTTGGTTTACTTAAGCTGCATGTCGCGTAGAAGTAACTGACAGATCCAGTACGCAGTGTCTCCATAAGGGATCCTCTGATCTCCCATCAGTATTTTATAGCTATATCGGTCCAGAGTACTTTTGTGCCTGTCAGGGCATCTGTATACATCACATTCAATAATTGAACCACAGTAAGGCATCGGAATTCATGCCGACACGCGATTCTAATCTTTTACAAAATTTTGTGCAAAGTGATTAACCTGCTCTACAGTGCTATTTGGAGAGAGATTTATAGAAGCTATCGCCTTGGTCACTTTTTTTCCGTTTGGGTAAAATTAATGCCTAAATTTGCATTATTAAGGAATAACCAAGGCTATCCGTTGTTTTTCCACTGATTTTCAAGGTTAATAATGTGAATTTAGCCTCAATTTTTGAAATACGATTGTGAACGAATAGGAAAACAGAAAAAAAGGACACAGGAACACCCAAGTGCAGAGGCGAATGAGGATGCAAGAATATTGTCAGGTAATCTAGAGGTGCCATCTCGTTCCAGCGTCGTATTATACCGGTCTGCTTGTTACAGATTTGCACCAAATTACTGATTCTTCCTCATACAATCAAAATCATTGGTAGGCAAGACTTTGTGGTTTCCGTTATCTACACAGCGTTACTCGCTAACAAAGTTAAGTGATAATTTACTGCTATTGCAAAAAAGATTGAGTGCAAATAGCACAGTATAGGGCTATCTCATTCCATCTAGTTAGGAGAGCAAAACATTGAACTCTTCTTTGTTCAAAGGGGATAATGCTACCGAAAACAGTCGCCTTTTTGCTTCTCTGTACAAGTGGGTGGTCAGAATCCTATGCACCTTCCGTAGGGCTTAATTAATGACTGATGGTGCGGTGTTTGGAACTGCGAACTGGTTGGTCTAGCTACTCGGCACTTCTTCGATGCGCAAGTTTGCACGTGTATATATGCGTTCACTTGGGCATAAATCAGACGCACATTAGCTGATTATATGTGTGAAAGGTTGATGCCGTATTGGCTATCCTACTATCTTTCTCAGGATATTCTTCCCATTAATCACCAGTTCTTAATTTAAAAATTGCTTAATGCCTTCAGAGCTAAAAATCTCACAAGCCACCCGAAAGATGGGCATATTGTTTGCCGAATTTAAATAGCAACTATCAGGAGTGGTAAAGTTTTATATTCCGAAAAAATTTTCTCTAAAGTTTGGAGACTACAATGCATTGCTTTATGCTGATAGACCCCACAACCTTTTGCTTTTATTTTTGTGTATTTCACATGCTAATGAGAAGCTAGTGAATGGTGCAAAGTTCTGCTTTGTCTTGTTGTGTGTTCATTAAGAGTACTGATGGCAGTTGAATATGTAGCGCCTTGAGACTTCCCTCAAGTTGAAAGAGGACATAATGTCCAGACAATAGGGCTCAGGGCTACTGGAATGGCCCGGAGGCCAGCCCACCAGGGGAAGGTAAAATGGCGGAGACCCACTATGACCCCTTTACCAAAATCGAGAGTTAAGCAACCAACGTATTACAAATTAGTACTCCATTTTTGAGAAAACAACTGCAATCCTTTAACTTGGTATAATTTTTTGCCTAAATACAGTGAACTTTCTCCACTGACAATTGTTTTTTCTGCTAAGCATCAACATCCCATAAACTGCGCAAACTAACTGGTAAATCTGCCGTGGTGATTTCAGTTTTTCATTTAAGTTGGTTATACAATACGTGTGATGTCTTGTTTACCTGAACCGAATATGTACAAACTAATTCACATACCAATATACATTTACGTTGGGACGTTAGTACTCATGCTTAGTCCATTTTCTTCTGAATTCCTTACAAACTTTCGCCATTTTTATGCGAATTTCATCCCTCAATTAACTTATTAGGTTTTTCTAATTTATTCGTGAAGGTCCAAATTGTCAATAAAGTACTTTTGAGTCACTTCGGTGACCATGTTCAGCACGTGTGAATGAAAAAAATGCAAGTTTGGCAAGTCGTATTGTGCCTTTCGCTCCTAAGTTCTGTTCTTTGTTTACATCTATCAGTGTTTAGTTGAAAATGTTTACCTGAACCCATGACTAACTAAGGCTTTAATAAATATCAAGGTGCTGTTATAGTTACTTTTCGTGCTCATTTCTGATATTACGTTTATTCTCCCATTCAGTTATATAGATTTCTTCCTTAAACCTTTACACTTCCTAACTTTAACGTACTTATAACCTCACATGTAAGTAGAAATCATGCAGCGGACTATTCTCACGTATGCATACTAACATGGCAGAGTGTGACATTTGCAATTATCTGTGTTTATGATTCACTACTTTGGTATTCATTCTCATCGTCCTGATCAAGGACATGAATGAAACTTGAAATGTCAGTAGTCTATGAAAATAGGTAAGTTTCTGGGTAAAGGAATTTCTTAAAGCTAATTCTTCAAAGTACCACTTTGGAATGAATAGTAAGAGAATCCCTCAGTTGTCTATTTTCCATCTTTTCTGGAGTAATGTTGAATGCAGTAATGTAGTACAAAATATGCTTTGTATTATTCGACAGGTAGTGAGGATTTTGTAGACAAAACTGCTAGTGACCTATGGCAAGACCAAATTTCACTTGGAAAACTGTTAAAATATGAAGGAATTTCCGCTGAAATTGATAAAGATCAGTCACCTTGCTGGTTTTGATAGGAGCACAAGACAAAATTTTAGCACCATTTTTAGCCTGGTGTTAGGGGTGTTGTTTTTCTGTTTGAAATTTAGCATCATCGTCTGATGAATGGTGCGACTTTTAAAAAAGGTCACACGAATTCTTACTATCTTTGTTACATTCGAAGCGGTAAACAGCAGCCCATTAGGGGATTTGAATTTCTACTGGAATTGCTTGGGATATTCATGCAAAGACAGAAGTTTATTTACGTAAGCCGTGAACAGAAACAGTATTCCACTGTATTGTATAACATACTTGAACGTCTAAAAGATAACCAATTGTGGTACCATTTTAAGGAGTTTTTTGAAACGAAAGAGTTAAAAATTTTAAATCATTTCGTTCAAAATAAATTTTTGACTTTTAGTAGTTTTCACAACTACTTATTAGTTTTTGTTCACAGTAAACATTTCATCGCTTCAGGACCACCAATTACCGACCTGCAATCATTGGACATGGCTAGTTTTGGCAGCTGTTTGTGCATTATGGACGAAAAGGGACCGTGCAGAAACAAGCATTAGGCTCAAATAATTTGTGTTCTAACCAGCAATTTGTGTCTTACATTTGAAATCTACTCCTACCAATCGTTGGTTTCTAATTGCCTCTGATTAAGCTAGAAAAAACTGCACATTAAGACTTCATTTTACTTGCTCTTATTTAGATGTAAATATTATCCACCTTCTAAACACAGTCCACTGGCTTTAGTATGCAGGATCTAGGCAAAGTATTTTACCATCATTCTGACGGGAAAAAGATTTTTCCACTTGATCATTTCGTTTGGTTTTGGTAAAAACTTTTACTTGGAGGCATATAGGTTACTTGTAGAAACCAGAATTACCTAATAAGCAATGGGACTAAAAATCATACGTACGGTTTCCCGTATTGGAGAATCACTGGTACACATAAATGAAAATGGACATTTAACATCTAATTGTAAGATTGGGAACCCAGTCATGATTTTTATGTGTCCCCTGAACATATCCATATCACATTTTCTTGTCTCTTTTAGTAAATATGTTTATTGCATATCTTAGCAGGTTCGATTAGTATTACCCTGGTTACATACTATTCATGTTAGTTTTCCATCATCATTGCACCTGCATGCAGTAGCCGACTTTTGGGATGTATTATGTCCTGCTTAGAAGCACGATCTTCTCTGCTTCCATAAACATACCTTTTAATTACTATCAAAAAGTCCCTGTGATTTGCGTCATCGACAGTCCTTGACTGGGATGACTCAACCAGCTTATGGGCAGTGCCCATCTATTTTACCCTGGCATCGACCTTAATAAAACTTTCCATCTGATCTGTTGAAATATGGTTAGTCAAGATAGATTTTAGTCCTTGAATTCGCTTTACTAACATTGAGACTTTAGGTATGACTATCATATAAATTACTAAGAGCTTTGTTCTTATTTTCTAGTTTATGACTAAATGCATTTCCCGTCAGCCAAACTTCGCACATACTTGACGCATTTATTTGGAAGCAAAAGATCAAGACTTGAAAACAGCAGCAAAATGGAAACCATCAGTGTCACGTGTGGACAGTGGAACACTTTGACGGTGGTGATCGATCTTCGCCTAAGACCCTGTAACAAAAGTGCTAACCACGCAAATAAAGGAAGGTTATTATAAACTTTGCGGGATATGAATCTATGGACCACCATCGCGATGGTCTAAAGAAACGCCTGAAAACAAAAAGAAACTGAAAATTGACTACGATCGTGCACCGCTATTAATGTACGGTATAGTTGATGAAACACCATCAATACAATTCAGCCATAAATAGTCTGTGCCCATGTGAAAGCACAGTAGACCTATGCAAAGCCAAAAAGGTATCATCAACTTTTGCTTTTCCATGAAAAGTAACTACCTAATTGTTGCGTGATTTTAATAGCTATCACATTATAGCGTTGAGTAATTGTGAGTTTGCTATTCGTTTTTCGCATGAACGCTTACATCAAATCAAGATTTTCTTCATTTTTCTTTGAAATCAAATAGACAATTTTAATGTACTGCTCATTCCACATCGATTGCAAACAATACTGGTTAAATGGGTTTTGTCTAGATGTATTGGGTTTGAAACTGTGCATCCATTATTTACTTTAAATCATCTTAAACTATTATTCTAAATGGTAACTGCAATACTAAATTCCATGCTTAAATCAATCTTCAAAAATACCAGAACTTTTTCAGGATCGTCTCACAAATATGGTAGAACTTCGAAAATAACAAATCTACTCAGTATCAATTAAAAGCACGTCAACAATAAAATTGTGATGGTTTAATTGGGTGCCAAACGTGTGAAATATATAGCCTTTAAATGGTATTACGACAAATTCTTCTCTTATTCTTGACTTTAAACTGGGGCAAAGCCAACATTTGCACTTATTAAGCCTTAAATCTGGGGTAATAAAATACCACTTTTTAGCTGATTGAAGGTTTTGAATGCTGGCGTTAACAATGGTGGTTAAAGGCAAAACTAAGGCTTAGTACCTCTAAACCACGAAGGGATGACAAATGTCTTAGATTCGAAAATCAGATTTTCGTCAACCCTGCATGAAAAGGAATAACAAATGTCCCTTTTTTGTTATTTTAACTGAGTTTTAAAATTGGGTCTACGCGCACATTTTCCATTACTGAGTAGTCGTAACGGTGGGCAAGCCCCTACTACGTCTTCGCAGATCAAACGAGAAAAATGAACTCTTAAACCCCAATAGAAATTCGAACATCTGCAGGCATGGGTAAGTATATGGCTTTGTTTCTGATCACTTATATGTCAACATGTTAGGTACGGTGCAATTACCTCGCTTCAAACCTAATGCGCCTGCATTGGCGGCTAATCTCTCCTCAGCCCTGCTGCATTACGATAATACACGTTTTTTAGACTGCCTCCATTCATTCATATGTATTTTAGGCGAAAACTCGACGATTTTTGACAGATACTAATCCAGTGTGGATGAAGCCTTCACGCTAATTTCACCTTCTACTCATGTGCTCAATGACTTGTACAAATCAACGAGGTTCGCTACCGCACCTCCTGCGTTGCCTACTTATTTATGTATGCATGTCAACCGCCGGTAAGAGTTCGTTGTTTACACAAATTCCATGTCACTATGATGTTACTTAAATGATCATGAAATATAATAACTTAAGGGACCATAAACTACCTATTCAGGTCACTTTTGGTGTCTAGCTACAATTTTTACTGAATTCATTCAAATGTAGTACTGCAGCAATGTGTTACTTTCCACGAATCATTGTTAAAAGGCGGCTCTTTTGGTATCACTTTGTCATTTACCGTATTCTACACTGCAAAATCAAATTAATAATTTATTTACACTTAAGTATAAACATTAGGGCTAGAAATAAGCTCAGAAACTTTGTGTGAATCCCTTCCTTACTTTGACAAATGTAAACACTAGACGTTTTGTCTGTAAATTCACTGCGACAAGGTGTTAGCTAACTTGCTGATTTGCATCCGAGACTTTCACTTTAGTCCGTGTTCTGTCCTTGGATTGCTGACATTTAATACCCTTACCTTTATTGGCAAAAATCTACATTTAGTGGGCCTTTTTCCCATATGCTCGTTCCAGACTCAGTGGTCACCCAAGTGCCGCACAGACGCTAATCTGTCTACCATATGCCAGACAAAGGCTCCAAATTTTTAGGGTGCCTGGGCTATCCATGCACGCCAAAAGGTCTATGAAATTTATGTACTGAAGTAAATTTGTTGAACAATTGTGCTACTGTTAGAAAAAATTGTGAGTTCTTGGCAATTAAAATTTTGGTGAGCTCCGCTCAATAAGCGTAAAGCTGTAGACTGAGCTATCTTAAACAAGTACTATATTTTCTTTACAGATGGAAGTATCCTGAACTTCCTAATTTCACTGTTGTTACTGCATTTCAATTCTACACTTTTGCATGATGCTTTAGGGTTGGTTTCCGAATATTCCTTTTGGTACTTTCTAGTTTTCATGCGGAATAAATTTGGATCAGCGGTAATTCAAGTAGTTATCCTGATTGCACATATCATTAGCAATAATGGTAACCTACGTTTTATGGTAAGCAAAATACCAGACTTCGCCAAGAGACCTCCCGTTTTCTCATTAAGAGTGCACAAAGTGACACAGTTTGGTCTAACCCTACCACCTGTAAAATGTTGAAGACAAAAACCCTAACTTCCAATTTTCCACATGTCAACAAAACGCTTTTTAAGGCTATGAAGCCATGATTCTAAAAGCAGAGTTTAATACTTGATTAAAAACCAGCACTGGCTGTCATGGAGGTGTGTTTTTGCCGTCTAGACGATCGTAGTGCATTGACAAGCCTAGTCATATAATCGACTGCGAACTTGGTGAAATGAGCATACCTGCTTCTCAGCTTCTGTCGCATTAGGAGAATAACGAGTGTCACCAATCCACTTGATGCGCTGCTGGCAGGTCTTTCGCTCCAATTGGCCCCAGTTAGGGCCTTGTACACTCATAGATGTCATGACGATCGATATATTTCATTATCGTTAACTGCAATCTCTGAGATTTTCAGCTTGTTTTCAGATAATGGGGATGTGATAGAGGAAAAAGGAGTAATTTTTCATTGCCTTGGACCTGAAGTATTTCAAAAGCCTAACGAGCGATGCACTTGTTCGGAGGGTAAAGACCAAAATGTGTCAACAGGCTTTTTCAACCAAACCTAATGCAGACCGCACGCGACTCAAAAAGACGGTCTTTTGAATTATGGGTTTGTGAAAAATTCTAGTGATTCAATCTGTGGAGTTAACAAAATTATCACGATGGCATAAACAATTCTATTAGAATTTCACCAACAGAGTAAATTCGCTAATTGTCACAGCGCTAAGTTTAAAAAGAAAGATTTAGTTTAGCGTCTCACTGAAACACACCCCATTTGCAAAAGACAGGGACAAGAATTTTGTATGATAGAAGATTCCAGTTTATATACTTATTTATTTTAAATTAATCACGCTGAGATAAATCACTGTTATCAAGTAAATTAAGCAGCTAGACTTAAGAATGCACTTAATTGTACATGTTTGGTAAATTAAAGTGCAGGCAAATTCTCTGATAAGGATTTGCTTTACCGTTGGATGCATACAAAAGGTTTTTTTCTTTTTAAATAAAAGCTGAATATGAATACTTTTTAGGTAGAACTCTGTTAACCACATATTTCCGTATACCACAACTTTAATAAATTATTTTGTTCTGAACCTTCTCATGTACTTATGGCAGAAAAGAATAACCAAAGAGGCTAATTGGTACTATGCGCATTGCAAGCAACTGTGATCTGTTTTATTTTTGTTCCCGGTAATTAAGGATGAACTAACAGATTTACACAAGAAAGAAAATTAAGGTTTTCAGGTTTCGTTGTAACACTTCGCACTTTCCAATATATATCCCAGTAAGATTTGAAGGGCAGGGAAACTTGTCTTTTGATATTTTTATAATGTGTTCGAAAGCTGTGTGTTTCAAGTAGGCATTAAATTCAGAATAAGAAAAGGTTGTACATTCGTTTACGGTTACAAGACGCAAGTAAGCTAAAATTCAAGATGTATCCCTTTAAATAAATAAAATTTTAAACAGAATACTACACCTATCTGCAGAAACTAATTTTCACGTAACCATTCAAAGCAATCACAAGGTTTAGAATTTTAACCATAAATAAAACATTTCCAAGAGGTAATAATTTTAACCGGCGTAGGCACTAATTTGTACATTAGTTAGTCAAAGCCCTTTTTGAGTAAGGATAGGTTTGGCGATTTGAAGCCTGCATAAATACAACAAGTTTCCACTCTTGTTAAGGAGTTTCATAGAAAGACGATGGAAATTAAATCAGTTCCTTTCTAACTGCGGTTGCTATTAAATGGTCTGGATTTAAAATAGGGTTGGATAATTGCATTTGTCCTAAAGGTACATTTACTTCATTTATAAGAGAGCGTCCTCTTATATAGATAATAAACAATTGTTTAGGATTCATCACTTAGCATCACCATAATTTAATGAATTCTTAGTCGGTTCAGGGAGTCAAACACGTCTTACCTCGAACGTGGCATTGGAACGGCCCATTCCAGAGGGCACGGAGGTGACGCTGACCTGCTCCAGTGACAGTTCTAGTGATAGCGGAGTTCTGCGGATCCTACGACGTCGTGGTGAAGGTGAAAGTATCGATGGCTTCGAGGATTTAGCCAATTTTGCAACCCGAGTGGTTCAGATCTCGGCCGATCGTCCAGACATTGCTGCCACCTTTGTGGTCTCGCGCAAAGACGATGGTGCAGTATTTATTTGCGGAGATGTTGAAAACTTCGGCTTCCAGTCGCATATTTCTGCGGTGTCGAGAACCATTCGAATCCAGTGTAAGCGAGGAGACACTTTCTTTTCTATAGAATTTAAGGATCTTGCATGCCAGATGCGTACCCACAGTTCAGGCTGAATCGAAGTAAGTTTTTTTGTTTGCTTTAATAAAACTGTGACTTCTGTTAATTGTGACACGTAAGCTGGTATTCCATTTTGACAATGAGGTTTGTAATAAGATTCTAGTCTGAATGCTTATTTTTACTTAAACGGTGCCTATTATAATTAAAAGGGCTCTGAGAAATAAAGACACACAGAAAACAACTTTAAAGCTGTTACACACCTTTATAAATCCCTAAAATACTCGGCGGTTATGTTTAAACTATCACTGATGTAGTGACACTTCACATTAAATACTTTTAAATCTTGTAACAAACATAGAATAGGTAGTAAAAGTGGAATAAGAAATGTACTTATTTTTAAACTGCCAGACAAGGAAAAATCCACTTGCTTTTTTGGTACTTTTGGTGAGTGGAAATATCGATCTTTTCCTCAAAAAAATGCTCATCAATCAAGAAAGAACGATTTACAGATGGCAATAGTAAGATTTACCCTTTGTCAAGAATGGTACAGGAGCAGCATTCTTGGTGGACAAAGGGTGTTTATCAAGGAGGCGCCCTTCTGTGGTGGCATGCATGGGCGTCGGCGAAGCGTGAGAACAAAGTATGTGAAATGATGCAAAAGTGAAAATCGTGAGAACTTTCTAAATCAAATAAGGGCATATGGGAAAGCGGGCTTCACACCTAGCGCGTGCATACCGAAAGGAATGCCAACACAAAGGGGAACTACAATTAAGGGTGTGTGATAGGTTTATCACAACACTTTATCGCTATAGCTGTATTTTGGGGTTGGTTGTGATTATACTCGATGAATAATTGTCAGTCATCTTAAGTGATTTATGTATCTTAAATGCAGAATTTCCACTATCTTGGCTTTTTTTCCTTCTAGGTAATTTTGAGTCTTCTGGTTCCGTTACAAACCAAAATAGTGCTTTTCTAATATGAAAGTGTGATAAAGGACCAAATGGCCGCCTGATAGTTGCGCATCCATTTTTTATAAATTAGTGCTAAAGTAAGAGATTCTCACCTATTTGATTAACTTAATGAGTCAAATGTTTTGTGCCATTAAAAAGAACGTCAAATCATCTAACTTGCTTTGCTAAAAAATGGTGTAAAATTAAATTTTTGATGTTGTAAGAGCGTTTAAATTGTCAGCGAGGTACAGGTTTATGCATAATAAGAGTTAAAGGCATCATTAATAAGCACGCAATCTGGAATATAAATCTCGCCTCAAACTAGTGATAACGTTCAAGTTTCCTTGATTTTACGCTATTCTTGTCAAATTAGTCACAATAACCACTTTGGATATCAGTAAAGTAGACATTGCACAAGCTACGAGCTAGATGGACAACGCACAAGATGGCTGAAAAATTTGCACTTTGCGATTTTTTACTAGCCTTGACGATCCAAGATCACAATTGGTAATCTAAAAAAGAAAGAAATCTACGAGCTTTCCATCTACCGCATTAAATGCTACATAGAGAGTAATTTTTTCAGTTTATGAAATAGGGGTTTTTAAGCCACCCACCTTATCTAGGATTGCTGTTGATGGATCAAATGCTGAAGTGATTGAGTACATAAGGTATGCTCCTTGCTGTAGGCTGTCTCAACGCATTTCCATTTGCTAGGAATTGTGTCACTGCAATACTACGCCTTCTCCTAGCAAAATCATTTAAAAGTTACCGTTGCATCAAGAGTTGTCCTGATTGGAGTAACGCAACCAGTACCAATTTGATTTCGAACCAAAATAACTTTTTTCTGAATAATTTCCCTTCTCATTTTCATTATGAGGATCTTTAAAATTAGTCCCTGTTTTATTTTACAGTGCTTTGTCGGTTAGGTGCAGCTCAAAAACATAAATGATCTTGTAAGAAACTTGTATTGACTATTCTTCACTATCCATTTAGATGATCGCTTAAGCAGTGCACATGGGATCTTTTAAATTTGCTTGATTAAATTTCTTCCAATTTGTAAAGTAAACCCCTTTTTCACTCCATTTTCTGTTTCACAATCAATTCCGATAGGACTAACAGGGGAGAGACAACGCATAAGGCTGTTGCGTAGTTTGAGAGTTCGAGCGCCTGAGCGTTGTTGTCAATGCCATCTATGCTTTTTCTGTTGACATTCTTTACCATCTGCTTAGTCTACCTCTGATTACTAAAGAGAAAAACACGATAGGATACTCGTAGAATCTTTAAGAAATTTATTCCAAATTGAGTATTACTAAGCCAAAATAGATATTTACTTCCTCCAGCTCTTGGTCAATTTGTTACCACTGGATGCTAGATCAAAGAAAGCCACAAAGTTCCTGCTTGGTTCTATCAACCATATCTCAGCCTTCAACTAGCACTTAATAACTATGATAAATGTCATTAAATTTGAGACCGGATGATATTAGAGAAGGTTTTTTTGTTCGCTTCAATGCATTCGTAACCAAATGTCACCAAATATTGAGAATAAGCTTCGTTCTTGACCTTTCGGTTGATCCACATTCACTTCTACTAAAGCTGAACATGCGAGGTTTTCAATGAACTTAAAAAACGACGATTTAGTGAAGAATGCTTCTTTATTTAGCTAGTGACACTCGATCTCAACAATTTATTTGCTCTCCGATCGTTATCAGTAAGGTTAATACTGAGGTTTTTACTTAAACCTGTACTACCGCAACTAAGTATGACTTAATATTCAAGATGAATTACAGTCTGTTTGATCCAGGATTTCGATTGCTAAAAGTAAGGTGAAGAAGTGGATTTGACTTAGGTTTAATACTAGCAGAATAAAAAAGCTACGACCAAATATCGCTCATTTCTGAGAATCCGCCTTTTAAGGGCCTAATTAATCTGCAGCTGCTGACCCTACAACCGATGGTAGGAAGATGAAACATACAAGATTTTCCTTGAATTTTTGAAGTATCTCATTTTTCATGTTCTTTGTGGCCCACCAAAACAATTTCTTTCCCTTCCCACTCTTAGTTAATCCGCGATCACTGTTGTTAAAATCGATACCCGAAGGGAGGATGCGTGAGGACATGAGCAAGGTGATCGTCTGCCAGACGGACGAAGGGGGTGCTAACCCTGCTGTCAACGTCACCTGGCGTCATCTTAGCCCCCTGGGAGGGATAGAGGCCTTGGGAGAGGAGATGCGCACCACTAGCACCCATCGCATATCTAGCAGCGGTAGCGGAAGAGGCTTTGTTACGCAGTCCAACCTGACAGTCCTTGCTCATCGCCGATTGAATGGGCATCGTATCGAATGCAGCGTTGAAAAACCTGAACGTATTGCTCTCTTGCGCCAAAGTGAAACTCTTGAAGTTATCTGTAGGTCTCGGTGATCATTGTAAAACAGAAATACCTGATGATTAGCTCATAACCAAGATTTGCTAACTCTACTCTAATATTTTAAATCCCAGCAATATAACTGATTTGTGATTTTTGGGGGTTACCTTTCCCCGCTTAAACACTACACTGGACAAAAAAGAAGTGAAGGATTTGTTTAAGCGTACCTTCAAGTCCTAGTAAATTAAATGTAAAATTTGAACAACTACAAGGTATTCCATCTAAATGTCTGGATGTAAGACAAGTTCTGCTGCTCCCGACCAACTAGTGATGTGGTACCTATAAGTAACGTATTATCTTAGCCTTGATATGAACACGTCTGGCACAAAATGGACTGCGCAGGTGGTAGTTTTGGTGATGTATAAAAAACAGCCATCTGTACCTAACATGGTGTTACGTGGAGGAGAATGCATTGGCAGGGGGATATTCATCAGAAAATTGCACCCTAGTTGACCATGCAGGCGAAGGCACATCTATTTGTTTTGCTCCAGTAACCTTGCTAAAGAACTAGTTGGTATGACTTCAACGCCCATAATGCCATTTTTGTAATAGTTTATCACAATCTGTTGATAGAATTTCTACGGCGCTAATAAACGCCTTCAATGCATTCGCAGCTACTGTGATAATTTAACTTTACGCTACTTTAATTTACCTTGGAAAAAGGCTGTTTCATCACATTGTCACTTAAATTCACTGTGAGAAATCAACGGAAAATCCTGCGTTTGAAAAAGGCAAAATATGATGGATGTGTACTGAATTTATAAGAGGATTATAACTTGCAAACAAATACAAAATTGATGCTCGCAAAATCCTATAGCGCGGTTTATTTCGAGCGTGTCTCTGCAGTATCGAAGGTGCGTAACCAGTATGTTTTCAATTTATGGTGGCAATGAAAACAGCTACTTCGTTCTAGCACACAAGCCAACACCTACTTTAGCACTAGGTGTTTGATTTTTGCAGATGGGATAGTAAAATGCAATGGAGTTGGTAATTGATACCCTTGCTTTTGCGCCCCACTGGTTTAGTAAAAAAAGGATAAGTGAGAACTAGGAATTTCTTTGCACTACTTCTGCCAGACATTTGACATTTGTGGAAACATTAAGGGGAGAAACGTTTTATATTTAGCAAGTGAGTTCATTTGATTTCACTGCAAAGATCTGATTCCCCAAAGCCTTTATAAATGGACATGGCCCTACTAATCCGATACAAAACATATTTAAAACTTTTTGTTCTAGAATTAGATTAATCTGTTAAGTTTAATAATTTTATTTCTGCAACTTTAAGGCACTAGTACGTACTCGAAGATGTGATCAAAAATTAACCTCATATTTTGGTCCCTCCTTGTGGTCGGCAGATTTATTGTAGAAAATATCAAAATGGTCTTTTGTTAAGCAGTTATACTTTTACATGTCGTGGGTGAAAAATACACATGACTGGGTAGCATACTCAGTTCGGTTTCCTAAGTTCTCTTGGGTTCCTATATTTGATTTCTATTTATAGTCACCAAAGGAATCCTAGAAAGAACTCTTAGGAACCGGCCAATTTTATCCCATCAGCTTAAGGTTGAACTCCAGTGACGCTCACTGCTATTAGGTTTTGCGGACTAGGCAGATTTGGGTTTAGATTTTAATAGTGTTGGCCTTTAGCATGAGTAAAAATTTTGGTAAAATTCTTTTACAACAAATAAAATACCTAATGCAGGGCTTTAATCTGGAATAGCATGAAGACTACTAAAAACTTTTGTAGCTTTTATCAATGGCAATTGTATTAATCTTCTAATTGTGCATGTCTATCCGTCGCAAATTCTGACTCCATTTTTGTCGCTCTTTTATGATGATTTAACCTTAGATTATTTTTCCTTGAAGCAGTTGTAAGGTTGCGGTTAATGATCAAACTCAGCAAGAATAACGTATGTGACAAAATGTGGTACAGAATTCTTGGGGAACTTAAAAGGCAACCCAAGCTTTTGGATGCCTCAATGGTTGCCTTTTTAATGGTACTAAATAAGAGGAAGAAGCTTCATGCTCCACTCACTTCAAAGAGTGATGAAAATAAAAGCTCCTAGCGGTGTCATAGAGTGCTTCTTGTTTGGCTTTCTCATCTACATCCTGTTTTTAATGAATCAGTTTAGTGCATATGAGATGCGGATTAGAGTCAGCTCATCACGCGTCTACGCTTTTCCTTACAGGGGGTTGCTGCGCCGTTCTAGGGTAAATCATGTTTGTTTAGGTCAACGGTTGGGAATGACAGATTATTCAAATTCTACAAACCGCTAAAGCTTCTCTCCTTTCACTTCGGGAGACTGTTTTAATTTTGCACTAAACAGTTCGTTTATTTTCTGTATTCCTCCCTTCTTAATTGATAAGAGATCGTATTCCATTACTAAAAAACCATGGTTGAAAAGGGACTAGTCATCTGCACCATACGAAGAGGTCATTTCCTACCTTAAGATAGAAAGATGTAACTACCCACTGGTATGAGCTTATGTACAGTACACCGACAGTGCGGTATGAGAGCAAAAAATGTGTCTTTCTGCCTCTTCTTAAAAAACTTGTCGGATTGGCTGATCACGTGCTTGTCGAACCAGGACCTCCAGGGATAAACATGGCATGGGAGGAGAGTTTCAGACCGGTTCCTTAGTAAGACAAGGGAAAACAGTAGTAATAAGTAAGGACGTCATATGCATTTAAGGGATTAATGGAGGAATAAAAATAGCTTAACTTACCGTCTCTCTTTCGTAGTAAAATCTATTCTAACACCAAGTTTGCCGGTTTTTGGAAGTTATCATGTTCTTTTCTCTGCAGTTGCACCCAACAGCGTGCATATTCATCCCAGCACAACCGGTGGGGTTTCAGAAGGCGAAGTCATCTCTTTGACCTGTACTGTTGCCGTCTCTCACCCTCCAGCCACGGTTCGGTGGTTTGAATTTCCACCTGGATCCGAAGGAGGAGCCGACTCTGGACAAGAAATCACTGACCTCGCTCAAATAGACATGGTAATCTCCCCTCCTGTACCGCAAAGTTATAACTCGTATTCGTACTTTATTTACTAAAGCCACAATTCGGTCGAGCCAGATTGAAAGTAAATGTTATAAGATGCTACCGTAGTATTAGAAGGTGCAAATATTAATACAAGGGAAAGTATGTGATTTTCAATTTTTACTGTCAATGAGGAGGATAGTGTTTCACGTTTAAGACATCAGGTGAATACGGAGGCATGTTGGTGGACAGTACACTGAGGGTCTCAAAGACCTTTCGTTCCAACTCGCTGACCGAGTATCGGTGCGTCGTCAACCAGGCCGCTCTCAAAAACCCCGTTGTCGCAGAATATAAGCTCAACGTTTTGTGTGAGTTTTATTTAATTTAAGTTTAAAACCAAAATTTTAGCCCAAAACACCCTTAAAATTACGTAGAACAATGAAATCAGTTTTGTAAACGTTAAAAACATAAATTAAACGTTGAGCCAGTTCTTAAGTTTTATGACTTATGAAAAATATTTGAAACGCCTGTAGATAAGAATTCTGTCACTCCAAAGTAAAGTTTTACAGCAATGTGAATTTCATCAGAAGTGGTTGAATAAGCCATTAAGCTGTTGTTTGCGTTGGTTATGGAATCAAGAAATTTTGCATAAAAAAGGTTTCAGTGACAGCCACAAATTGGTATTTGGTTTCTGTGCTGTCATATTGGGTCAACTAGCAAACAGCCTAAGGTACACTAACTATCGAATTGGGAACCAGTCTAGGTAAGGGCATAGGCCTAATGTGGGAGAATCACATCGAAGTTGGGAAATTTCCGTGTGCGAAGGTGCCTTCGCACCTAGGCAACGGTCGAGTCATTGATTAGCGGAATTAACCTTTACAGAGAACGGAACATGCACACATTTGATTACCTCACATACCCATACCACAGCCCCTGTCCCAATCACCACTAGATTCCCCACTGACTCTCTGCTTTTAAAATAAGTTTGTTAATAAAAAATGTTATTGGGTTACCGAATTAAAATTGTACTCACAACAGGACATAATTTTCCCATCATACTAAAATAATAAAATCTCCCTTGGTCTTTATTTCTGTTTGTATTTCCTTTTGCTTACTTTTTCTTTCATGTTCCTTCTTTTGCCTTTATTTGCTCCATTTTCTAATACTCTGCTTCTCGCAAATAGCAGTTCTTTCGATTAAACCGAGAGATGACTAATGGCGGCTAGGTGACTGTCACAAGCATTTACGAAAGTTAAACTTGTGTAAACAACCGTTGTTCACCTTCTTCCTTTTTCCTATTCCTTATATTTAACTGAATATTTGAGACTTCTATTGAAAAACTTCGTTGTCTATATTGATGGTTTCTACTTCCATGCCTTAAGCTTAGGCTCTGAACCCCTCTAACTAGATACAGTTGAGATATCCCAGAAACGGCTGAGCATATAGTCGTCTCTTAAAAGACCACAAGTTATTCTTACGCGATACGGTAGCTAGTTTCAGCATTATCATGGTAAGGGGACTTTAATCTAACCCTAGCACAAAAGAAATTCAGATGAAATAGCTGGCAGCTGCTACTCTTTTTAGACCCACCCACGGCAGAGATTGTCAGCCTGCCAAACGACCCAACAGAAGGTCAATCGGTAACCCTTTCCTGCCTCACGCAAGGAGGAATGCCCGATAAAAGCTTCTCATTTTCCTGGTGGTACGCCAAGGATCTCAAATTGCCTTCTACCGCAACTCAAAATGGTCAACCCACAACTCAGCAGGAGCTTTCTCCGGCTCTAGCCAAATCTCTTACCTCTTCCTTGAACACTACAGTCTTGGCCGAACACTTTTCAACTCATATGACTCAGATTCCAGGTCATATGGGACGTCACCTACTGCTGGACGCCATTACGATTGAAGAAAGTGGCTGGTACGGCTGTCAGGTTGTCAATGCCGGTGGCAGTGCTCAAAGTTTGCATTTACTTCTCATAAATTGTAAGTATCGAATGAGTCACTCACAGCAAAGTATTAGCAGTGGCAGATGTAGTCCTGTCAACTTTTTTTGATCATGATAGGGTTTCATCGAACGAAATACGTGCTAGACTTCAAGATAGCAATAAAAGCATATCTTCCTTAAAAAGCATATTTATTATGCTATCCACTGTTTTATTTGCTCGTAGATGCTCCAAGAATACACCCTAGTACAAAGTTTATACAATACGCTCAACTGGGAATGAAGACTGAGTTTGTGCTCACAGTTGAGGCCCGGCCAGCAAGAGCAGAATTTATGTGGTTCTGGATCGACGACACTACGTTGGCCAACAAGGCAAGAAGCAAAATCCTATCTCAGTCCTCCACTTCGGAAATAGTTCGAAGCCGACGTTCTGCGGCACCTCTAAAGGCCATTTCCACATCAATCGCGCCCTGGATTAACCGTGTGAAACAAACATCTACCGCAATTGGAGCCAATAGGCTAACATTTACTCTGGCCTTCAGGGAGGTGGTTGAATCAGACTTTGGGCTTTACGTGTGTCAAGTCAATCACAAAGCTGGAAATCGCGAATTTTACTTTGAATTGAAGCCCCAATCAGGTGAGTGATTGAACAGTTTCGTCTACTTTTGCAAAATCAGTACAACAGACTATTTATTCTTCTACTTAGACATTCACTAACTTGATAATAAATCCTACCAGATAGCGATTCTCTTATTTTGCTACTACATTCCAGTAATTATTTGTATTGTAAATGGTAATAAAACTTTGAAGTTCTATTACAATATAATGAAGAACAAAAGAGTAGACGAAGAGATTAATGCATAATTTGAACTGCAAAGGAATTCGTCAAGCACAGGGACCCTTGGCTTTGCATACAAGTTAGCAAGTACTACTTTACTTTGATTGGTGTAGTTACTGTCAAAGCTGCCCCACGGCATACCCTCGTCGGCGCAAAATACCTACCATCACAACGATCTGCCTCCGCATTTTTCACATATATAAGCAACCTAAGATTCATTTTTTACTCCCCAGCAATCGGGGTTTTTCGAGGCCAAATTTTATTACTTTAGCAGCAATCAAAAAGTTGTATTGAAATAGGTAGAATTCTGGTTATTATAAAGCCAAGGTCTGTGACGCAATGCGTGAGGGGTCATGCCATGTTTGGTACACTACAGTATTTCGCTGTTAAGAAGAGGAAGAAAAATTAGTGAAATTATTGCAGAACCGGGTAATGCCTCTTTCTAAAAGTTGACGAGCCCTCATTCGATTATAAAGTTTAGTTGGAGTTATTTTAACCCTGTTTTCAGATGCCAAAGGTATAAATCCCAACAGTATTCGAATCACAAGTGAGGGTCGCAAGGTACGCGTAGATTTCGAGCCACCCAACAGCCAGTTCTACTCACGGATTGTCCTTCGGATCTGCCTACCTTCTCGGGTCTCCGCGAATTCCGTGGTGGATTCAGGAAGAAGAATTCGACCATCCGGGGAACTGGTCTTCCTTCGATCTATCAAGGACACCTCTAGTGCCTCAATAGACTCATCTTCTGTGGAAATTATCGGTACCACAACTACTGTTAGCAACGATGAATGTGGTGACTACGAGGTGACATTTGCGGAATTGGGAATTATTCAGGTGGAATTGGACCGGCCTATTGCTGAATACACCTTTCAGTTCCTCGTCTACCATGACATGCAGCTCCGACAAATTACAAGTCCGGTTCGGTGGATGGCTGGTAATCACAATTTTTTTTAATTTAAGAATGACCAGTCTTGCTTGAGTGAATTTACTGTAAAAATTACGAATGCCCATGCCTCAGTTTGAGTTCAAGTGGACTCGGTTAAAATTGTGTGCTGTCATGTGTACATTCGGGGTGGGGCTGATACGTTGTCCTGCTCCTGAATCCGATATCATTTACAGGGAAATTTAAAAACAGGATAATGGTTACAACGTATGGGTAGCCTGTGATGTAACCATTGCGCGCTGCCAAGAGTTTGCTGATACAGTGAGGCTTTTGATAAAGTCAGATGTCTAAATAAGTCATGGCTAGCCAAAAAATGAATGTGGTCAACTGGAAAAGGTTGATCTGGATTAAGGGGTAAGGCATTCCGAATTAAGCAGACAAATCCACTGAAATGAATTGACTGTATCATTTATACCATCGCTTGTGTCCCTTGCAGAAAATCGGCCTCAAGCCTCAGTATCATCAAAGCTATTGGTGCAGTTGATCATTGGAATTCTCATCACTCTCCTTGTCGTCTGCCTCATTGCGTTCCTCATTTACTACTTCTGCACCTATGTCAAACGAAAGAGTAATTTCGACTTCCTTTTAAAAGTCAAACTTGATTATTCAGGCGCCATGTTAAGCGTTTTTCTATGAGCAAATAACCTTTTAACCTTTTAACCTTTTTTCCTAGATATGAAGAAGCTTGCTCCTGCAACCCGTAATGGGTAAGTGGAGGCAATTTTTTTCTTCACCTTAGGATGTCTTGTATGACTCACTAGAAGGGTAGTAGAGCGTGTGTGACTGATATTTTTGAAAAGTTTAACAAAGACTCAACAAAGATGTGCAAAAAACGTACCCTTTTCAATGGTAACCCTGATTGAAAAGTGCCAAATTTCAGATGGGAGTTTGGGTTTGCAATAAAAAGATCGTCTCAACACGTAGCTGTTTAAGCAGTGAGACGTGAGATAACTCGACGTAAGGGGATTAGGGCTGCTGATGTTGTTAAAGATTTCAGGGGAATCCTGCACTAAGTAAAATTAATTTCTTATCGTTGAAGAACCTGTATCAATATGCTTATTATAGGACCTCATTAAACAAATTCTGACTCAAATCGGTAGTAAGTAAAAGAAGAAGGAATATAGCCATACTGAAAGTGGACGTCAAGGCTGAAAATTTAAATTTATTTCACTTTCTACGTTCTAGGGGTATTTTATGGTAATTTTGTTATAGATATATCCATGTAAACGGTAATTGGATTCTTAAGAATGAATGCCCGTTTAAGATTTCATGCTATGATAAAAGTTTAAGGCGTCAAATTTTGTTTTTGCAGATGCGGTATTTTCAAAGGCTCTGCTTAAAGTTGAGTTTCAGCACTGTAAGATTGACATTAATAGGCTTTAAAATTGGGCACTGAAATTAATGAAATGTTGCAGCAAGTTAAAACAAACTTGATTACTTTGACTGACTAAATCTTTGTTTAATTTTATCCCGGTGAAATGAGGTATTAAAAACCACCGTTTGTCGCAATTTCCCTTCTGATATGATTTACGTAATACCTAAAGGAGCTGAACGTTTTATCCAAAGCTTGAACTTTGTTTTCAGACTACTACATGGGCCCCAAACATACCAGACTTTGGATTCTAGCAAACATTTTGCATCACCTCCTTCGGGAGCAGGTTCAATCTGTGCGGATATAGGTTTGTTGCACCCCGCCTATGCTCGTCAATCCGTGGGTGAGCATGTCACTTTCTTGCTGCAGGCAAAGCTTTGCTTCTGCATCATCAATGTGCGCATCAGACACCAGGCTAGTTTGGCGAAAAAACTGGCTCCACGATTTAAACAAGCTACATCATTGTCGGATATGTAGTGCCTTCTGCTTCTAATCCACATTAGCAAGAGCAATAGCCTCATTCCATAAAAGCGGTCTAGACTTGGTGACTGTGCATGCTCTCCTGCTTGACTTTACGCCCACTCGTAGTGGTAGTCGTCGTTATCTTTCGACGTGAATGGGGAATATATGTAGCACACAACTACGGCACACACCATACTACGTCGTGCTATATATTGTTGTGCTGGGCTGTACTGGACTGCTAAACATGTGTCCGCTTCGCTTTTACTGCATTTGTGAGTGTGAGCGACGAAGAGGGATCTAAAGGGTACTGCATGTTGGTTTAGGATCGGGTACCCTCCATACTGGGCCCTTGCCTACACTTTCTATCGCAAGTTCAATCAACGAGGACAATGAGAATCGACGAACACCAGGTGTGCTCTTTACTTCTGGCGTGTCCGCTAATTCAGCTAAATAGGACATGGATCTGACCCACCGTGTCGTGTATTGGAATCTCTGAGGCACAATTATGCCATTATGGGATAGTGCAATCTTGAACATTTTTTGCGAATGTTTAGACCAGTGGATGCATAGTATACCACTTGTCGCTGTTTCGATAAATTTTGCAAATTGTGCTCACTCAAGTTGAAAAGAACCGTGCGATATTTTTTAAACAAATCATTAACCTAGCTTAATTTTAGAACTCTATATTTACCGTTATAATTATTATGGTACAAATGAACATACTCGCATCTCAGAGATGTTCCATATTCTGGTGCTGTAAAAGTGAATACCTCATGCAAGGCTGCGATCGCATTAGCTAAGTTTAAATATATCAAGATATGGCTAATAACAGCTGAAACTTGCAATGATCAGTCCATTTACGAACTAAATAACTTATGGGAAATTAAATGGTCACTTTGAATAAGTGGACTTGGTCTTCTTTTACTTAACTTTTTGTGAAAATGGAGATAGACATTTTTGTCGCTAAGAAATTTCGAAACACAACAAGGCGCATTCATAATCTAGAGTTCCTTGTTTCTCATATTGCCATGCAGGAAGTTCATGCCAGTCTACAAAGGGCTTCTACTCGCCTCAACCCTTTGGCCACTTGGCGAACTCGGCCCATCCTTTGTTGGAGAACACGTATCACACCCTACAGAATTCCGAGATGCGTGGAAGTCCTAGCAATGCCAGTCACGTTTCCGCCCTGACGCAGCGAATCCTCTCCGAGGTCTACATTGCGGCAGCGAAAGCGGCATCTATGGCCGTAAGTGAGTCCCTTGCAAGTGGCAGCATGGACGCTGTAAATCAGACTATTGGTGGTACTGTGACTTATCGACCCAACTCGCATTTCGCCGAGTCTGCCTCCACGATGGGTGGAAGCATTTCGGCTTTGGATGGACTTAATGGCTATCCAGGTATTAAAGTCACCTGTTTGCAATTGAATTCTTACCACGTAACACCTGATAGCAGAATTCGGTTAAGAAACTTAAATTTCTCGTATCTGAAGCTACGTCATTGTATATTTTAACAAGTGGCTTCTGGCAATGCTCATGTTCTGCTGTTCTATCTTCAACCAAAGATGCACCTTAATTTAGATTACTGATGAGCTGTGACTTATAAATGGACAATGACATGATCAGTAATAATGCTTTAGCTCTTACTTTACTTTGTGGAGATTGTTTGTCTAATTCTGCTGGCATCCAGATTATAAATGTGGCCAATTTCACGTATATTTAACGGTTAAGTGAAGCGTCACATTTTCATACATCAATAAGTGAAGTTACTCTCTTATGTTACAAGTCTTAGTATATAGTTATCCTGCTCGAATACCTACCACTTTTTAATGCTCAATTCCTTAAAATCCACTATAACTAATTTTCAAGAAGGAATGAGTTTTGCCCACCGCTTTTACTATCACCGTTAATAACACGGCGATGAGAATGGGTAATACTCATATTTAGAGTATTGTGTAATCTTAATATTGTCTCATAGCTTAAACGTAAAATGTGAATAATTATGTAAAACATTGTTAAGATAATTCTAACAACATCAAAATATCATTGACTGAGGATTAGTGAAATTTCTCTCATGTGAATAGGCTTAACAATACTTGTGAAATTGCGCAACATCTTAACATTCACAGAGCTTAAATTCAAGTTCCCTAGGACCTTGGTACGCCTCGTTGGCTAGGTGGAAAGGTGAAGTCAATTGGAGGGTTTTTTATCTACTAAAATGGGGTTATCGTTGGCGCACCATATTTTTTTCTTTGGATCAGTTACAGAAGACGCGCGCTCACATGCGCACACAAGCGTGCAGAAGCGCACTTTCTGTCTTGCAGTGAAATGAGGGTTTAAGAGTAGACAGCTAAGTGAGACATATAGCCCTTCGGAATAACATTAATTGCCCTGCTTCTTGCTGTCCGTGTTTAGTGATGGCACCAAATGGCGTGTTTCGAATACGAAAATCGCCTAATACACGCACAACCACGCCGACCTACCAGGGTCATCTAACCCCTCAGCCCGTCCCCTTAACACCGCAGTTCACGGGCCAGCAAGTCCTCCGCCCACGCATTTCCCCACAGACTGTCTCCAGCTACGGGTTGGTTTCTCCTATTCTGACACCTCAGGCGACCATGCGGCTAAATGAGGCCGCAAATGCCCTGGCAGCGGCCGCAGCTGCTGCCGTTTTGGAGGCCACAGGGGCTACACCTGACCTCGGCATTCAAGGCGGTGAGGTGCACGTATCTCGTTTCAGTGGCAATGCAGAAGGAGGCGGTGGTGAAGGTAATGGTGGCCTGGGAACCAGCAGTGAGGATGGAGAGAGCGTTTCTTCGAACTCTTTCTTTCCTAGAGGTCCTGATGGCAAAACCTCGAGTCAGGAAGCTAGCATGAAGGTGGGGGGAAATTTGCATCTACTGGTTGTTTTAAAGCTATGACAGAATTCATTCTTACATCATCATGCTATTAGATTAATGGGCTATAAATATAAATGTGAACAGTTAAATTTGTGTGTACCCTAAGAAGATGAAAATATAACCGAGGTGGTTAGATCAGTTAAGGATTTACTGTAGATTTCTCATCACTCCTGAGATCAGTCAGCAGGAAACATTGTCAACAAGAAGACTTTTTTGTAGAGGACACTAATCTGATCATGCGGTGTCATATCATCGTTGGGTACTAAATTCCTGTAGAGTGGAACTTGTTGTTCTGCTAATAATGCGTTTAGCTGGAAGGAGTTCATATTGTTTAAAACAATGTTTGACAGATGGAAGTGGAAATTGTCAGTGAGATGCAGATTGCTGGCAAACGCCAATAAAAGTATAGTTTTTAGGCATAACTGGTTAAAGTATTCTTTTTTACCCATTTAAGTTGTCCTTAAATGTAAAATTTGACTAGTTCGAAAGTTGCCTTTGGTGGGGTAGGTTAATTCAGAGCAAAGATACGTAGTATACATAACTAAGTTATAACCTTCCTTTTAGATGGAATATTTTGGTTCCTTCTGACCACTTTGTCACTTTAAATTTATAAAAGGTCTTACCAGAGTCCCATTTGTATATTTTTTGGGTCTAAGAGCGAATACTGATGCCGTCCTCCTAAGGCCTACAGCTACGGCAGCTCAAATTTAACAGTGAGATCACTTGTGTCTCGGCTCTTATTTCAACTAAAATGCGCTAGTATTTTATGCCCAAGGGGTCTCATGACTCAGTATGGTGTTTAATTGCACAAGATATCTGCTTTATTGTATTTTTGGACATTTAGCTTCTGGAAGCAATTCAACAATTCAGGGCCCTATGTGTGACAATCTCTCACTGAATTGCTCGCGTTAACCAAAATTTTTATTTGACTGAACTTGACTTCCAGTACTTGCAATCCCACCCTATTAACGGCACATATATGGTAATTTTAAACTCATGGTGTTTGCATCAACTCCCAGAACCAACGTGTCGGACCGTCAATATAATTATTGATCATTAAAAAGGACGAACAAAAACCTAGATTCGAAGGATATTAACAAGACTTGAAAAGTTAAATAAGCAGATATTCAGGATCACGTTCATTTGATGGTATGATGGCCTTTAAATTGGCAAATTCACCTGCGCCGAAGCCGTAAATGCTACGCTAAAACACTTGAAATTTAATTATGCATTATCTGCCTCAAACAAATTCTTGAAAGGGGTGGAATGGAAACCTTCTGCTTTAAAGTGGGGGAGTAAGTGAGATGCAAGTAGAATAAACTTTAATAACAATGAAACAGTCCTTGAAAAACTGGGAGTGCACTAATTTAATTTATTAAAAATCTAGTTGTGTTGGATTTAGAGCCAAAAAATCATCCATCGTTATATCTCATTACTGATAAGCGTTCCCAGATCTACAAAAATGTCGAAACATTCTGACGATGAAATAGACAGCTGCTATTATTAGTTTTACTAGTACACTAGTAATTGCCTAAACTTTGGGAATAAGAAGAGAATTTTGAAGCAACCCGTAACAATAACATTCAACTTTTTGAACAGGGATGAAGCTCATTGCATCGCAACTTATTGTTAAGAGTAAACCAAGAATCGGACTCAGTTAACGTCGAGAATGGTGGCTGATGAGGATGCACCTTACATTTAGGGGACAGAGAAAGAAACTGGTACAAGGCGCTAGCAAAGGGGCTCTTTCAAATTCGGGAATCAAGTACCTCCTTCCAATGCTAACCATCTCACCCAACATGCCTTCCAACTACCACCAAATCATAGACCCTCGTGGCACTCAAACGTCTCTGGCAGAACTTCCCGCCTACTTTCCGTCTACGCCGATGGAGAGCATGTGGACGCAGAACTTCCATCCCATTGAAAACCCCAGAACAGGCGAGGAGGCTAAGTTTAACCCCCACCCCAATGCACAAACCGAGGCTGGTAGTAACGCCTCGACAACCGGGGTGGTCTCCATTTTCGCCAAATCACTCAATTCAACCGTTTCTCGTAGACCACCAGCCATTAATCCTCAAACTCCTTCAAGCTCCGCCAGTTGCACCACTGACGACAGTAACCCCGATGACAATACTCTGCGAGCTAACCCTGACATGAAGGACTTAAAATTCCCTTTACAACCTGAAAAGCCGCCAATGCCATCAACAGAGTCTCAAACGGCTGCTGAGTCCCAGACATAAGATGTGTACATGTGTCGATGGACGTTTTTAGTTGGTATCTGTTGTCGTAACCCCACCACTGCATCAATGCCAAACTACAACAGTTTTATCTGGCTTCTTCCCTGCCCTTTTCTTCCCTTCTCTTGGCTTTCCTCAGGAGAAGCAGACCACTACTAATGCTTCTGACACTGTTGTCTGTGAGAGTTACATTGTTGCATTTGGCAGAAGTATGCAGTGTTCGCCATTTACGGCAAAATATATAATTTATTTACCATCCGATCCTATTTGATTTTGGCCTTTTATATACAAAGCTAAAGTACATCACCTACTGTGATTAGCCTTGGTGTTGGCACTGAAGCGTGTAACACACCTAGGCGTCAATAGAATTGGCATGTCTCTCTCAAAAGGCTGTAATCAAATATGAAGCATACAAGTTATTCAGATAATAAAGTCTAGTAAAAGGAAGTAAAATCTGTGAGCTTCTTTGGAATATCCCCTCATACTAGTTTTCTTGTGAACAAGGGGCTTGGGATTTGATATACTACATTAATCTTGCATTTCTTTTTCGGTGCATGTTTTGAATCGCAACTCATAAGGCTTCAGAGTGGAGCATGGTAATCGCTTGAGGATTTATTGACAATTGCTCTTTCAATTGTCTTGAGATTGGAGGCCAAGTAGACATAGACGAAACTTGACCTTAAGGCGATTAAGTCTTAAATTAGGTTACGGTGGTTTATTGCAGGATGGTGCGTCTTTGTCTAAGCATGCAGACCTTCTAATTCCCTAGAGATTTGGTACGGACTCATTTCATGCTATAAGGGCTACTAAACTCTGCGTCTTTTTGTGCATTGATGCTACACCTACCTCCAGGTTAGTGTGTCTTGCTAAGTCTTTTAAGTTGACTAAGGGACTACAGGTTCATTGCTAAACCTTTTATAGTACATTTTGATGATCGGCATTTTAATGACAGGCGTCATAAATGTCACCAACAAAGTTTTAACTTACAAATACTCAATGTGTAATCAGTAGTAGTTCCTTTCCCATTGAATGTGTTTGATATCCTCTTGTGCTGTTCTTTTTTTATGAGATATTGCACTAAAATAACTAATTTTGTCCAAACAGTGGAAGTGATTACAGACTCTAGAATTTTCACAAGACGAATAAGTGATTTCCTCGAGCATTTGTGTCATCTTAACAATAAATTATGTACATACAGGCTATACGTTACTTTAATGCAAGGTTTGAATTTTATTTATCACAGCTAAGTGGTACCTTATGAATGGTTTACTGACACAATGTGTTGATGTGTCTTTGGGTATATTCTTATTAGAAAACAGTTCATTTTCCCATTTCTATAAAACATAAATTACAACATTTATGGAGCCGTTAGAATTATGCAAAGGAGGATTATTTTCTCATGGAGTAGAATAGTATTCCGTACTAGAGTTTAGCGAAGGGCACAGATCAAAGCGAGTGTGATCTTCTCACTTCCATAGTTGAATAATTGGAAAGTGTTACTTGGAGTTAATTGCATCCACTGGATGGTGCATTTCAATTGCTCAAATGTGGCTAAAAAGTCTGCTGACTGGCTTCACTATGAAATAATTTCCATGACTGTAAACTCTTTTTATTCAGTCTATTAAACAGCCTATTCAGCGCACCATCTACTGTATAATGTGATGATTCACATAACGGTAGAGTTTTTTGGAGGATTTTACTACGAGCAATTTATAGGTGCTGCAGTAGAGACGGCAACAACCATAAACTGACACGGGTACACTTCCAGAAATCACGATTGCTAGTGCTGAGAAGTATATCTCACCTTAAAAGTGAGCTAACGACATGACTCACTTAGCTACAGGTGGTAAAAACTAATCAAGGTAAGGTAGATGTCATAAAGTCGCGTATCTCGGCACTGAAATAAATTTGACACAAATTTCCTTATTAATCCATTTCCTTGGCATGTATAGTGTTTATATACACATCGTTAATATCTACGCAAACCCTATCTCCTCTTAAAAGTCCAACATAAGGTTAGCATCCTCTTTTAAGTAAAGAGTTGATGATATATCCTCCTGGGTGTCACGTGAGTAAACGAGTCAGTCTATGATTCAGTAAACCATAATTAGGTTTAAACTTCGTCTAAAATAACCCATTTTTTCACATCTAACATCAGCTATAAATGCAGTAGAAACTGTTAAAGAATTACGAAAAAATTGTTTCGTATAAACGAAATTGATTGGCCAGCGCTTGCTTCGTGAATGCAAGTGCCTATAATTGATAGTATGATAACAGTACCAACCCCGCCTTGCCATGAACTCAAAGGTCACAACAGGGAAACAGATAGAGGCCTAGTTCATCCACATCAGTGTGTATAGCACTACATAATCATAATTGTATCACATGCATTTTAATACTGAAACTGGGAGTTATCAATCTACCTTGTTTTGGTAAATAATTGCGCGATTTTCCCATGAATTGAGCAAAACCACGGATTCATTTGTTTAATAATGTGTATCCAGCTGTGTGGAATTTATTAAAGACAATGGCAAAACGGGAGTTATGTTATAAATTACTTTTAGAGGATTTGATCTTGACAAAAGACGTTCTAATTCGGTATTTTAAGAACTATGGTTATTAATTAGTTGAAATTCAGCACAAATTGTATAGGAATTAGCGAAAGCCAATGGTAAGAAACAGTCAGTGTTTCATGGGCAGCAGAGAAAGAAAGAAGACGGGCGGTTTGAGACAATTCTATCGCGAAAGTTGTCTCTAAACTAGTGAGATTGAGCAGTGTAAATGTGTACGCATGAACGAATGATGGGGTGGACTGATGAATATCTGTGTGTATGTGTTTGAAAAGTCTCAACTTTCACTCCAAGAGTGCATAATATGTGCATTTCCTTCCAGCGGTCACTACTTAATAAGAGGAGAAAAGCAGAAGTATAAGCTAACAAAATTCGAAAGGCGAAGACTACTCCTCTAGACAGCCTTTTCTACTCCGGTTGCTGGTCAGACGTCTTCCAAATGAGGAAGGCCCAGCCGAATGCTTTGAAATGAAGCAGTTGCCCTCCAAGACTCGCGATATTGCTTCCGTAGGCTCCAGTGCCAGCAATCACGTGCCAAACGGGTCCGAAATTATCGTCCATTGCTTTCTTTAAAGTAGCGGCTACCTGTGTTGGGCCGTTTGCTGTGGCGAGAGCTGACTCTGCCAGTTGAAGAACTACCTTCTTATCCGGTGGTGGCAATGACGCATTAACCTCACCGTCATCCATTCCGTTAGTATATTCAATGCCCACGTCAGTCAGGTCCACATAATCAGGTGGGAATCCATCGTCTCGTGTTACCTCGCCGTGCAATGATGGCATTGCTACAACACCCTTTGGTGACAGTGTCGCATTCCAGGTATTTTGATACTTTTGAGAAGTGTAAGTGGTTTCGTTCAGCGTACCTCCTGGTGAAACTAGCCCATAGGGCATCGCAGTGGGTGTCTCCTTCTGAATAGGTACCTCAAACTCCGTCGGTGTTTGGTGTAACTTTCGACCAGCGTCCATCGATGCAGTCATACCAGACTGTGCCTGCATGCGTTGTGTCTCAAAGAACTGCTGTTTTGAGCGAGTGCGTTTCGTTAGAGTGCTACGTCCATACTGATTTGGATTACTCGGAGTCGGGCCTTCGCTTTCCCATTGATCACCTTCAAAATTAAAGACACGTGAATTTTTCTCTGTGGTGCATTGGTGAGCCCTGTTGGGGCAGCATACACAGTGATACTGACTCGGAGTTCTGGCGCTCCTTGGATAGACTGGAGGGAACCTCTGAGCAGTCCCTGGAGTCATTGATGGAACTGTGGTCATCGGAATGCCCGATCTGGGTCCATAGATAGTAGCCATTGGAGGGTATCGACGCGGAAGGCTGTAGTGAATCGGAATGGCTGGCGAGGGGAGGTATGGTACACCAGGCACTGGAGTTGCGTAATCATCTGGATAGTAGTAGGCTGCTGGCGACACAGGTGCAAAGCTGCCCGACCAATCGGGATAGAAGGCTAACGTGGGAGTAGTGTAGCCTATTGTCATCGGTATACCACGTAAAGTTCCGTATATGTCACGAGCACGCGAGCGGGAACTTGGCCGGATTTTGGAGTGCTTGTGGCCGTAGCACCGTGAGTGATGATGATGAACTGAGTCCTTTTTGCGTCGACTGACTGACTGCGAACGTCCTGTTTGGTCCTGCAGGTTCATCTGCCGAAAAGCATTGTTTAATGAAGACTGCTCGTATTGTCTGCGGCGTTGAGAAGTAGCCTCTGTCTCGCGAATGATATCGGAGGAGTAACTTCGTTGATTTCTCGGCCTGCCCAGACTAGTTGGCTCAAGCGGAGGAATGGTCATTTTGGTGACAACACGAGCTTCACTTCCCTGACGAAGGGTTCGTCTTTGGCGTCGACTGCCAGTGCGAGCAGCTGGAGGACTCACGATAAGGGTCTCAGTGGGGTACACATGATTTCGCGGCTCTCCCGACACCATCCAGTCTTCGCCAGTCGTGGATATGCGGCGAATCGCCACATCGACGGGCGGATGGGAGGGGCGCACGTCAACATGGATTGCAGTGGTGTTATTGGACTTCTGGTAGGGTACCTCATCCTCACTGCGGTAGACCGTGTACTGAGGACGATTGGTCGGTTTACTCTCCGAGTCGCTGCCGACATTACTACCGCTCTGGAAGGTCTTCGATGTGACGTCAGTTCGGCGATTCGTTACCGTTGATCGAGAGGTTATGAAAAATTCACCCTGACCTCGCGACCATTCCTCGCTATCGGATGTACTTAAGTGCAAAATGAACTGCTGTGATATAAAACAGGTACTTATGGTAATTCATTAATAATGACAAAGATGCCGCGGGAATGATTCAGATCATTTAGGAAGAATCTATATTCTGAACAGTGTAATGCTCAAAAAAATTTTGAAATGTAATCCTACAATTAAATATGTAATGGTCTTACAGTTAGGGTTTCATTTTAGCAAAATCTCAGTTACCCTTTTACCGAATAAACTTAAATTTATTTCACTACAGTAGCATGCCTCATTCAGGACCAGAAATAAGTTATGGAAATACGTACTTTTTTGTTACTTGTGCCATTGGTTTGTCGAATCAGGTTTTGGTAACGTCAATAGAGGCTCGTTTGTACTTGCTAAAATAAAAGAGAAGTATAAATGAGGTGAGAAGAGGGGAGGTCTCCAATCACATCGACTTATTACATTCACAAAGGCCCGATCAACCAGTGGAACTCGCCAATGCTAACTCCTTTACGCACCACCAATCAATTAATAAAAAAGCTACCAGTGTTTCATCAAACAGTACAGGTAAGTGTGGCTGCAAAATTTTTTACAGCCTATCATGTCCGTATTCGTCAATGGCGCAGCAGTTCCTGTGCAAAGATTATTGTTGAAGTAGCCGGTCTGGGCTACCTTATTTCTAGTGGGTCTATTTACTCGGCTCCCATTCGTAAAATATCTATGTAGCATGCAGACTGTGCTTTTAGAGAGCTACTGGGTCTTGGTCACATTTCAATGAAAGTGTTTTCGTCATTATTATGATCTGACCTTAATGAGACACTGTGTTGTGCTGATAATGCAACTTCATTAGTGCACGTCGGGCCAGAAAAAACGAAGCAACGTGGAATTTAGCGCATTTTTCACAATAACCCAGTCTATTTTAAAATTACTCACTTCTCAACAGGCAGTCGTTGGGAAACAAGCGGTTTAAGTGTAAAAATTTGAAATTTGAAATTGTGAATTCAGTCCCTAGTGCAGAAGCTACTTTAAATGTCACCCAAGGTAAGGGATAAAAGCAAGATATTAAAGCTATTTCAGTGTTTAGTAGATGTTTTATTTTTGGATACTAGGTTTTCTATACATCAGATTATGGGAATTTCGAAAAAAAAGCGTGAATTTACAATGCTTTGCACAAGAAGCGCCACATCAGATTTTATCAAATGTAATGGTAGATTCTTATTTAAAAATGACGATCTGAGTGTCATCAGATTGGCAAAGTCACTGCAAAATTTCAAATACAAACCACTTACATATAACGGGCTAAGCCGATAAAACGGATGCCTAAAAGCTTTACAAGTCCACTTTTTTATTTGCAATGGACCAATGAAATGGGGTAGCATTTGCATCGTGGTTACTGTGAAACGAAAATGTGTTAACTAGAACCATCATTATCCAATCCTCATATGGGTCAATGAGTTACCAGTAGGTTATGAAAAGACTAACCACATAATATCGCTTTGTAAAATTGAAAGGGTAATAATTGTCATCTCTATCCTATTTCGCAGCACACCCCATGACTTAAATCATTTCTCTGCTGGCAAATAAGGTAACTGTGTGACTAGCTCAGTCATTTTTATGTCTCTAGCCCCTCAAATCATAGCTTGATATCTTCAGATCGTACTCCTAATCTTTTTTACTTATAGAGGTATAATGAGGTTTGAATTTCCTTTTTAAAGTCATAGCAAGACTATAGTTAGGAAGTGCTACTGATATGCACATGATCGACAAAAAAGTGTTGTTGTTAAGTGCGTGTGTGTGTGGATGGTTTGAAAAAACACCATGCAAATCATACAACGTTTCCAGCATAAGTGTGTTGACACTCACGACAGTCTAACAACACATCAGATATAATGTTTTGTCACTTAGAGCTCATGGTGACTTCTTAAAGCTGAGCAAAGGAGTCAGAATGCCAGATTTGAAATTTCACTGAAGTCTTACCATATGTGCATGTGTTTTGAACAGTCCTTCTTTAATAATTGATCAAGTGAGGCCTGGTAAGTGCAGTCGTGCTTGAACCTGCGTGAATAATAGGTGTGACGTGTCACAGTGCGTGTCGGCTGTTCGTCTTTTCTATATAAGGTGCGGGAAGTTAGCACAAAGACAGCAATGGATTGCCATAATCCGCCGATTAGGTCAGCAAATACGGTAAATATCAAAATTGCATGCTATCTCATAATCCCCTAATCCGAATTTAATTTTCGAATGAAGGTGGCGGATACAAACAACTGATCTCCGCAAATTTTATTCCAGTGATTATTAGATAGGGCTGGCTCAGCGAACTTTCCTTGCGCGAGCATAGTGTCGACAGTGCTTCCGATTAGTGACGAACGATGTGATTACGTGCCAAAGACTTAATTTGCATCAAAGGCTTTGGTCATATACGTCGACTGCCTTCGGATACATTTGCATATCCACCGATGACACCTCTTATGTGTAGAGTTGTTTGGTAAATAAGCAGCAAATTGTGGGCCTACTCGGTGGCCACTAAATAGCTTTAACGGCCTCGGTGATTCAGCTATTGTTCCAGTCATTAGCCCTGACTCAACTAGCAATTCAGTGATGACTCACGGTTTTTCAGATAATGGGTACTAACACTAATGCAGTTTTTAGAAAATTATCATTAGATATGCTTTTTGCTTAGAAATTAACTCCCTGATAGCAAAGCGTTCGCAATCACTTTTGCAGCAATACAAATGCATAAATCTGACTTCACAAAACCCGCGTAAGAAAACAAACTTCAGCCTTTAAGTGTGATTATGTTCACAATATAATTCCCAAATGTGGAATTCAATAAAACGGTTCTGTTTAATGAGATATTCAAAAAATCCAACAAATAGATAACTCAATGCCACTCTTCACCAATATTATCTGCAAGGTTTGTTCAAGTGCCTGTATTTATTGGAAAGAAGGGGTAAATAATCCGGATGAGAAGCTTTGATTTGTTGTCATATTTTCCAAAGGACATTTCTTAATCAAAAAAAAATAACCACAACCCAGCAATTTTATATCGCATTAATTTATCTTTGATAGTAAAGTTGTTACTGTAGTTTAAAATGTAGAATATTCTAAATGACTTATGACCGCTCAAAACTTTACTGGATTTTTAATTGTGATTTGTTCCTAAGGGTGCACTTGTAAAGCAAATTTTGGTTAAATTTTGAATTTGCTCAAGGATAAGATTGTGAGAGCAAGAAGCTAGACTCACCAGTTTCTAAAGTATGTCCTAATGAGGAGCTTAGAAGACCTGTGATTGCATAAATCCTTCCCTTCTCCCTCTCTGGATAGTGAAGACAGAACTGATAGCCAGGAGTAGTGGGGCAAAATTGAGCTCCTATGCCTGCAAGTGCACACACTTTTACAGGCGCAATCTATCACCACGATCCAATGCCAATTTGATCGCGTTCTTGCCTCCTACTGGTTGGAGCAATGGAAGCACTCAAATGTGCAATGGCGCACGCGACTGCATACAGGCGTACATACGCCCACACACACACACCCACTCACTCACTCACAGTGAGGCAACTGAGCAAACTGTATTGGCACCGAGCCTGCATGTCTCACCCTAGGTCAGTCGTGTGGGTGTGCGCATACCTGTGCATGTGAATGCGAGTGTATGTGTGCGTGCGTGCCACCTTTGCACAGGGGTGAGCTTTGAAAGCACAATGATTTGCTCAATGGACGATCGTGTATTCGTGTGTCAATGTGGCGTAACCCGATTCGCAATCACAAGGCATGGTGATGTGCCAGCGCGACGAGTTTACTCCGAGCCTGAGCGACAGCGCAGATAAGCTGAGCACCACTTGGTGAGGCGAGAAAATCAATAATGAAGTCGGAGCTCCGCTCCTTTACAGTCTGCTGCTTCAAAGTGATTGCCATGCTTGCTCATGTAGTGATACGATTAAGTCTCAGGTCAGGGTAACTCCTACGCCCTCCCAGGTCGCACAAATCAACTGTGAGAGATTCCCAAGCATTGGTATGCATCGTTGAGAGCTTTGAACCACTTTTTTGGTCATGATTACCCTGTCAGCTTTCAGTGAACTCAAACCTCACTACATTTGATCAATTTTCACTGGACAGCACTTAGTTATAGGTCTCCCGACGATTCGCTGTGTTCATTTAGCATTGTCAAATGCATACTTTTGAATGCCAATGCTAACATCAAAATTGACGGCCAAATTGGACATTAGCTCACATTTGGAAAAGCTAATCTGCCCCCAATTCTATATAACTGTTGACTCATGCGCTGGTTGTGATTCTGATCTATTTAGACAATATCATTTAACCGCCTAATGCATATATGCTCCAAATTCTTATTTTTGAACGAGGGTTACTCTAAAGGGTGCCAAAATTAATTGAGATTCTTTGCACATCCTTCAGTTGTGTGATGCCACCTTGTCACTTGCAGTCTTTCTGACTGTAACTGGCTTGTTGAAGGTTAATCAACATAACTTCCTACAAATAACAAAGCATCTAGTTTTTTGAAATTGCTTGCATAACTAAATTTGCGCCTGTGCTTTAATGAAATGAGCACGCGAAAGGATTTCTTCTATAAATAGGTTGATTTTTTAAGGGCCGTAGTTAAATACAGATAAAAGTTATACATCTTCGGTTAAAGCAGTGATTCTTATGGTGAATAATGGTATGTGGTGCATTTTATGGCCCCATTACCAATAATTCTGGTATGAGCAGAAGATACAATTTTACTTTGGGATGGAAAAACCTTACAGATATTGTTCAAAAAATTATAGAATCAGGAACTGATTGGAGTGAAGCAGCCAATTGTGCATTCTAGGACAATTCGTCTACAAATATCTTTTTAAAAAACGACATCAAATAGTGAAATACAATTGCGAGTTCGTGCCCTTTCATAAATGCGGCTTTTTAGGGTTCGCTCTCAACCTAAAACCCAAACGACTCAGAATAATTCATTTTCGATGCAATCACTATCGGACAACTGGTATAAGTGATAATTTGATTTAGAAAACATTGCGTCACTTTTGGTTCTTATACTAAACATCTGCACTGTAATATTTCTATCGCTGCTAGATCGTCTGACTGTCTATGAGTTCACCTTCGAGTGCAAAGCCACAGGCATCTCGATTGAGTGGGCTGCCCGTCTCCCTACACCTGGGTTGGGACACGACGAGCTACCGCAAGGCATGAGTGTGCCCACTACAGATTGTCCGCATGTCTTACTTTCTGGACATCTGCTTGTCCCACCCCACCCCTACGTTGACCTGATACCAGTATGACTCAGAATAACTGGATTGTCGAGGTTAACAGTGGCTTAAGGTTTTCGTACGATTTCTGATGTAACCACTATTGCAGAACTGGTAATGGTGATAATTTGATCTGGAAATCGTTGTTCGATTTTCGATTCTTTGGCCAAACATTTGCACCTTAACATTTTAAGCAATCCGTACTTTCGATACCTGATGACTCGTTTTAATGCTTACGATTTCCACACGCCCACTAAGTAAACAAAATTTTCTTCGTAGACGATACGTATCCGTACTTGTTAGGACAAAATTTGAGGAACCCACAGTTCCGGTTCGAAGGTACAAGTGCAATAACTTGATTTTCATACAAATGAACCACAATTTTTGTTACTGTATAATGAAAGCCTTATTTCCGAACACTAAATAAATAATTGATATGCTGAGTTATATTTGGCACTTTTATCGGCTTCTTTACCTACTCTTGTTTTTAATTTAGTAAAACACATACTTAGTGCTAGTGGTTTGAACCAAGAGTGGGGAAGGCCTGAACTCACACAGCTTCAGTTGTGGTTTTGATACGCCGATACCCATCCATTATTTATCTAAATTTTTCAAGCTCCTCTTCTCAAACATCCAAAGGCATTTACGAATGTATAAAATAATGCTAAGCTTGTGGTAAAACACCATTATTTGTCTGCCTTTCGTCCATTACAGCTTTATGCTATCGCTCTGTTAGTTATGACTAATTGTAAAAGCTATTTTTGAATGAATAAATCACAATGGAGAGTAGTTGCAGTATTCCTGAAACACTGGAATATAGATTGCTTAATCTGAACTTAAAACATTGTTTTACGTCATCTGAGATATTTAAAGAAATGCAACTCTCGAAATTTTTCCAAAATTTCTCAGGTACTTGTTGGTAAAAGTATGTGACAGAGGGGCTGAAGACAGGGCAATTGCGCAAGTAACCTTGTTTGCAAAACTTTACAAAATCAAGTAAGATAAAGGAGTCATTTTACACATGCGCGTTGGAAAGGCTTAGTCACCGACATGTGATTGCTGCAGACAGCATAAAGTAGCCAAAAATTGTAAAGGGATTTTGCAAAGGAGATAAATGCTACTGTAATCATCCAAATTAATTTAGTTTACTCCCATTGTATTACATTGCACATATTTATTCAACATAGTTTGTCATAAAAAATTATTAAGCTTAAACACCCTAAGCTTTGGTAAGATTTGAGCTCTGGGGGTACCAGTATAGAACTTTCCACATCGGCACAAACAGTGGAATTGCATGATTATTTTGGAAACCACAGTGTTAATATTTTGATTTCTCCATGACAAAAATACTATAGATAATTATGTTTCATCCGATTTTATTATTACTGAAAACCGTAGCATATTACTGAGTTCAGCAACTATTCAGTCCACTATACTGAAGTAGGAACAGGAATATCGGTTGGTAACTCGCAGGGACTGTGTAACCCTAGGGAGAAGCTTTCAGAACAAACTCAAGTTAAAATTGAGCCGGCAGAGATGACAATTCACATCATCATGATAGCAGCCACATCTCTATTAGATACAACTTATAGCCTTTAGGCCACTGTTTAGGGCGTCGTTGAAAGAGCGTTCGGCAGGTGCATCTGCATACCTAAGAATCAGATAAGTTAAGAGTAGGCACAAATTATTGCTATTTGAAATGAGTTTTTGGGCATTTTTGAAGTCGTTTTGCCGCTAGCGTCTGTTTCAGTCAATGGTCCCCTCAATTCATGTGTAGCTAAATGTGTACCTTTACAAGTTACATTCGTTTTAAAGAAACTATTTTCCTTTTTAAAATGAGCCGTTCACACGTAGCTAAATAGCTACTCTATTAAAATTTAAAATCATGCTGTTTTAAGATTCTTGTCCCTGCCTTCCGTAGATTTGTGACGTTGATAGGAGGTAACAACGACCCTGACTAAAAAGCGATAACCACGTTAATCTCATACATACCTCTGGCAAGCACCATTCTTCGGAAAATCATGTTTCACTGGCACACTCCCACGCGCACCACGTCGCATGCCAAAAAAACACACTTGAAGCGCGAGCCGCTGCGACAACTAGGGCGCTTCTCGACAGTCAGTTGATCGCATTCCGCACAGTCACTCTCCCTTTGTTTGGTGCTTAGTGCTAAGGTGCCGCAAAAAATAACGTGAAGGTATTTGCAGAGTTATTGCAGTATGGTATTAATCGGCCAATTCTTTCTTTTGCAAATACTGTTTAGTCATACAATGTCGTTAGTTTGCACGGCTGCTATGACCCAAACGTAGGGCAACTGTCAACTTAGAGCAACATTTGTGTTTTCATGCTAAGGTAACAAATGGAAAGCTATTCTTTAGCCTACTAAAGTATTAAACCAAAAGCTAAAGGGAGTCTGTCCTGTGCTTGATCATTACCTAGGACTGCCTCCATTTAAACAATAATTTAATAAGTCCTCGGAAAACTTTCACTTAGTTCATCTTTGCGCTACTTGTTAACGTCTAAAGCTTTAAGATAAAGGTGAGCAATGTGATGCCTATCGACAATCAGCAAGTCAAGGCATGTAATTGTCGAGGAGAAAACACTTGAAATACGTTGGTGATAAATAAACACTTGTAATACGATAGTGGTTTATCCCTCGGTTCTGGTGAGGCGCCACTTTTGTACTTTGAATTAGCCCCCTTGTACCTCGCTGGGCGGGCTGGCCTTCTGGGCCATGCCAATAGCCCAGACACCTTCTCCGTGCTGAATATACATATATTCTGCCCGGGTATTGTGTCTTCTTTCGTCTTCAGGGAGTCTCGGCACGCTACATTGGTGGCAGCGGAAAGCGAACCCGATCCTAAAAGACATGCATCCTGATTTTCCACTTCTGCGTGATAAGACTTAGTGGAGCCGAAGAAGTACGTGTGCTGCGGATGGGAGAATGGTGATGACCCCTAACAGAAGGGTTGATGTTGACGTCTACCTTCAGCATCTCTCCCAGTCCCGTGTTCTGCAGAAAAGCTATTAACAACTGAAGTGACATTGGCCGTGAACCATCTGGAAGTTTCATTACGGATTTTCCCTACCGTCTCCCATGGACCTATCTTAAATCCCGCCCTTCCCTACACAAATCTACTTTTAGGCCAGTGTTCCTACATCCATCTATGGACACGCATGATGGCTGACGCAGTTCCTCGTCCTGAATCAAATCCCTAAACTAGATGAAACTCCAGATCCAGTTAAGCTGCCAAGAGGGATCAGTGACGTTGAGGTCAAGTATCCCCTCAGTTGCGCACTAATTTGGTGACTGGCACGGTCGGCTCGTGGGTGTTTCTTTACTGCACCTACTACGTTGTAATGGCTGACGCGGGAGATTGACCTGCGGGAGCGCCGGGGACGACGCTCAAAAGAGGAGGGAGGCTATGTAAAACGATAGTGGTTTATCCCTCGGTTCTGGTGAGGCGCCACTTTTGTACTTTGAATTAGCCCCCTTGTACCTCACTGGGTGGGCTGGCCTTTTGGGCCATGCCAATAGCCTAGACACCTTCTCCGTGCTGAATATATATATATATTCTGCCCGAGTCTCGTGACGCTACACACTCCTATCTTGCCATCCCTCATAAGAATGTATAAAGGTTCTCACTAGTGATTAGGTAGACATCCATATACTTTAAGATGTCGAGGAAAACTACCAAAGGGAGCAAAAACACTTAATCTAGTTAAAAAAAACCCATCACGAAGAAGATGGAAAAATCAAAACAAGTTTTCTTGCCTAAAAGTTGGGGCCGCTTATAATCAGTAAAATCAGCATGAACTAGCATAAAAGCCAAAAATTTGTCATCCTATATTTCAGTATTTAATATTGAAAAAAAGTATCGTTAGAATATAAAACTAAGAACATGATAACTAAAGGTTTCAAAAAATGAGGTCAGAGCATTCTTTAACAGTGGTAAAGATTACGTCAGAACAAAATCTGAATATGGAAGTAAATTTACAAATAAAACCTATTTGTAGGGGAAAGTTAGACGATAATTTTGTGCACACCCACCATTATCCAAGCCTAAGTTTTTACGTGCTACTATATGGTGTTATTACTTGAATGGCATTTTATCATAAATAATGGTAGCAGCTTCAGCAAGTGTACGTGAGAAGCCACCAAATTTAATTCTGGTGTGTTTGGGTTGTGCGCGGTCGGTTTTGTTCCCACCCACGTTTTTATTCGTCACCTGCATTTCGTATTATTGTTTAAAACAAATAGTGGAACCGTTTTGTAACTTGTTTTTGGAGCCATTACCTTTGGGCCTTTTGGGTGGGTGTCTTAAAGGCCTGTGCTGCAATGCATTGCTTCAATGAACCGTTCCCTTCCATTTCCAAACTCCCCTCTTTATTTTAGGTTACCGCCATGGCAAAAGCATGGTTCAGTAATTCGGTGAGTTTTGGAAATTCTCTATAACTAGGTTGATAGTATACACAACTGGAGTCAGAATCCCCAGAAGTTGTCAATGTTAACTATCAAGAGACGCGGGCCAGAAATATATTCGATAAGTACTTTATTATTAGCAAGAGTGGGGCTTTGCTGAATGACTTTTTATACGATGGAAAGGACCGTGTTATTCAAGAATGGCTGAGTACGGTGCTGCGTCGTGGCACTAGTGTGGATCGTGTGTTGGCTTTGGCATTCATGGTTAGGAAAAATCCACTCTCTTCTCTGCAACACATCGAAAGTTTGCTGGCGTCCATTTCACCTGTCAAAAATCAGCTTTGTATGAAGGCGACAGAAGTTCTCTCCAATCTCTTTGAAAACTTTCTTCTTCCCAGCATGCGAGCTCTAATTGCCTTCGAAAATCGTCCATTTAAAGTCCTGGCAAAGTACCCCGCAGCGCTTACAGATGAACTGACGCTTAAAAATGCTCGAAATGGACTCAAGCTGCCTCACAACTGCCGTGAGAATATCCTTGCTTTGTGGTACTTCGAGCATAGGATTAAACAGTTCTATTTTCTGTTTTTGACCTCTTTGGAGGTAATTTTTGCTGCTACCCTCATCATTCACTATATTTAGAACGTTTTAATAAGTGATACCATTCCCACAGCGAAAACGAAAGCGCTAAGTAGGTAAAAGCTTGTACGTCTTAATTCTTTTCTAGACGCACTGGTAAGTTTAGCTACGAAGAAGCCTGAAAATCGGGAGGTAATGATTGCATTCCGAATAATTTTTAGTTTAGTTGGCGATCAGTATTGTGGTGAATAAGCTCGGTGATCGCAGTAGGGGCTTTGCATCTAGCGTGATTCACAAATTGCGTATTATGTGTAAGTCTCCCTTGACTCCTCCTGAATCACTCAAATCTTGCTGAGAAGTCATTGGGTCACCTTGTGCTTCAGGTCAGAGTCATCCTTACCTGAAAGCGATGCTAGTAGAACAAATACGAATTTTCCTCTTCCGTCCGAATCTGCTTGATCGGGCTAAATACTACGCCATTGTGCTACTCTCCTGTATCCCCCTTTCCAAGAGGAACTCCCAGCTTGTCACGGTCATGGAGGATGCCGCTACCAGTGACACTACTGTCGCCGCCATTCTCTTCCGCATCTATCTATCATTCTTTCGCGCGTCGGTAAGCTCTAAGGAGCTACCTGAACGCCTTACTGCTGTTCTCCTCGCTGGCATTAGCCGCGTTGCCCCATATCTCTCGCGTAAGGTGGTACTCCTAGGTTTTATTTATCATTCACTTTGTGTTTTGTGATTAGTTAAGGTAGCTTATGTAGAGGCCTAGAATATAATTTCGGGTGATTGTTGGATGAATAGAATGAGATTTGAAATAACGGATAGGAATGTACTCAGATTGTTCACAAATTATCTGCTTTTGTGATCACTGAAATACTATAATATCTGTGTGCACCCTATAAGGTTTACTAGCATTAGTAGCCTTTTTTTTCTCGAATTTCAACACTTCTCGTTCTGTAGCCAATGAAATCTATTCTAAGCCCTCTACTATTTCAATTTATTATGCTGTGCAATGTCTAGAACTAGTACCGGGTACTGAAAGTAATGTTCCCAATGGATTAAGACGAATTTTAGGCACAGTAGCAGTATGTATTCGCTACTTATCTGGGCTTAATTATTTGAGCTCTACATGTTTACCTCATTTATGAACGTTCGCTTGTCTTTGTCAGCGAAGATCATGTCTGAGAACGTCACAGACGTCAACGCCATCTTCAGGCTGGTTCATGTGACGACGAATTTTACAATAAGTCTACAGGCCCTCAACTTCCTTTTCCACTTTACTTCCCATCAGCAACAACTTCGCAATCGCTACTATCAAGTGAGTTTCGACAGTGAATGCTTCCTGCTGTCAGGATTAGTAACTTTCCTCTTCTAGTAAACATTAGTCCCTTTTCAATGCAACTGAATTGCCAGCGACGGAATTTCTCTTTAATCATCCATTGTGCGTTAAATTGGAAACTTGGTCCGCAAGTTGTCTTGTAAACTGTGGAGTTGAATACATTCATCATAGCAAGTGAAAATAGTGATAATTTTCCGAAGATTGGGCTGGAAGAAGAATGCGCCTGAAAGATAGGCTACTGAAGTTCTTCAAAGTAGCCGAGTGGCATAGTTACAGATTTACAAATGCTGACGGTCTTGCCTCAACATTTGAAAATATCTTTTACCTGTTTATTGCGCAATAATTCTGTCTCATCTGGCATTGTAGGCTATGTAGAAATTATTCACTCCTGGAGAGGAAATTTATTATTTATCAAAACATAATATTAGTGAACAACGGTCAGCAAGTATGAATCAGCAATTGGTTTTACGGCAAAAGTCCCTCGTATCATGGTCGTGTACGTTATTTTCACTGATGAAACAACATTTTCATTGGTAGTTGAATGTCGTTTGTAATATCATCTTTCTCCAAAAAATGCTTTAATCGGGAAAGTGTAACGGGTTTACATGAAATACATTAATTTGATCGTAGAAAGACGGTGATTAATTAGGCCAACGCCCGTTATCTGTCAAACAGAAGTTGAGTAATGAATTTAGTCAATTTTGTGGCAGCTTGCGCAACTACTGACAGACAACAGAGCATTGCGAAACTCTCTTATGTCAATCCTTTCATTTCCATCCAAAGGCGCTCTATCGTAAGCTCACAGACTCCGCGATTCGTTGGACGGCGCGTGGTCCCTTCATACTGAATCTGCTCTACCAGAGCTTATTAGCAGACACCGACGCCGGGCGTCGAGCCGCTCTCATTCATCGTCTTCTCTCCATCTGTCTAAACCATCCAAACTCCGGTTTTGCGGCTGGCTCACTAATCCTCCTTGAAAAACTCTACTCAGTTGGTAAAGCTAACCCAATCGGTTCTGCTCCTGGTCAGGTAGGCGATTTCCTCTATGTTGTTGGGCACCACTCCTCTGCTGCCGCTGCTTGCTTAAACCTGCTCATTTTTATAGTCAGTCAAGCCACAAAAGGATTCAAAAAGTGTACTTCCTACATCAGTTGGTATTGTCAAACACAGCCACTACCCAAACGCTGCTGCAAGTGACTCGGACGAAGAACACTTCTCCGACGTCCTCGCGTCAGGCGAAGAGGAAAAAGGGGAGGATGCAGTGGGGACAAAGGAGAAGGAAACCTCCATAAAATTCAGCGAAGGTATCTGGGACCACCGTCGTCTATTCAAAAAGACGAAGAAATGGTCTATCGGAGATGCGGTGGGCTACGACAGCTCGGCGCGAGATCCACGCTTTGCGCACGCCCTGAATCAGCCATGTTGGCAGCTCTCGTTGCTTGTCAATCACGTTCATCCCACTGTCGCCTATTTCGCCAGAAGTCTGACTGAGGGGAGAATTTTTAAGTACACTGGCGATCCCTTCGAAGACCTCTCGGTGGCTCACTTTATGGAGCGATTTGTGTACAAGAAACCAAAACCCAGTTCAGGTAGGGTAGGAGGTCGCGGGAGGTTAGAAGATAGAGTAACTTCTATATCACCTTATTGGTCTATTTCTTCTTCCCTTATAGTTGCAAAACCGGGAAAGATGGTTGTTGATACAGATGTGAGTAAGCGAGTTCATGCTAAGACGCTGGCTCCGAACAGCTTGGCCTACAAGAATCTAAACGCTGAGCTGGTGCCTTCTGACGAACGTTTTATTCACAGGTGGGTGCATTTTGGCTTCCACCAGTCCTCTATATTGTAAAGTCTGGTAGTCTTTGTTTCGCCATTTCCAAATGCTATCTGCTTATGTGTAAATGGCATCATTTAATCATATGTGTTAACGACTGACTGAAGTGAGGGCCGTTGATATCTACCCAGTGGGTCAAATAAGGGAAGAAAAATCTTGCTTTGTAAACTAGATGGTGAAAGGATGGCTAGAGTGATTGAACAAATTTGAATGGATGTCTTTATAAAGCTGATACCTCTTATTGTTGTGAATAAATGATTTTTTGCTACCCGATATTTAACTAAGTGTGCGCATGTCTTTGGACACTTATGTTTAAACATTGGTTTTCAACGTTTGAGTGGGTTTGGTTATTTTGTTACTTCTCTTTGTTTGTTTTTTTGTTTTAAGTTTTTACTGACAAGGGCTTGGAGTTTCTCTTCGCCTTAATTCTCCTTGTCTATTTGTTTTATTAGTTACTTCAACTTCATCAATGCTAAGCCAAGCAAAAGCGAAGGTGGTCGTAGCAGTGACGGGTCGGATCTAGACGAAGACTTTGACGAATATCTTAGTAAGTGGACTTATTCTCATGCTGTCTTCACCTTTCCTGTAAACATTATTTTTTACCTCCATGTTTTTTTTTAAATGCTCCAGGAAATCACGAAAAGGGTCTAATTCCGAATGATGCAGACGAGGATGGTTTACTTAATAACTCGGATTTCAACTACTGTAAGTCGCTCCTGTAATGGCGCTCTGATGAACCAATGGCGGTAGGGAATGTTTAGGAGAAAGAAGGAAAGGAGTGTTCCACCTCAAAGGGAAGGGGATATTGCTGCAATTGACTTGGTTTGATAAGTACATTGTCGTCTTGCTCGTATGTTGTTCGAATGAGCTATACCTAGCTCAATTCATTAACTCGCAGTTGGCTAGGCTCTTTGTCCTGACTCCCTGACTTACTTTTTCTCCCTTCAGCCACTGACGAGGAAGAGGAGGAATTGGGGAAAGTAAAGAAGCGGAGAAGTGATGGGGTAACAGGCTCGGAAGAAAAAGAGAGTTTTGAAGAAGAAGAAGGAGGAGAGGGTATCGGCGGTCTGGGATGCGAGGAGGAAGACAATGACAGCGATACTGATGATGAAGACGACTTTGTATCGTCGAGAAGTCGCAAGTAATTTGCTTTGGCTACCATTTGTGGTGTTTGTGATAATGATAGTATTGTCAAACTGGAAGGATGTTACTCTGCTTACCTCCATTCGTTGAATATTGTTACTTAGCACAGAAACCTTGCAATAACGCAGTGGAATAGAGGCTTTGTGAAACATCTTTCTGTCGTTTGATAAGTATACCTCAAAAACATTCTACGAGTCATTTTTGTTGCACCACTGTCGGTGAGTTTTATTTATAGGCCATCAAGCTTATTGCAGCCAAACTTACTCACAAAGTATATTTTATTTTGCTGACCACTTTTTTGATGTTACTTATGTTTCAAGTTTGTATGGGGCAGATGTTTGTGGATTTGCATTGCAGTAGGCCGACATAATATCACACCATTGTACCCTCTCAGAAATATTTCAATCGCTTGCATTTTTCATCAAAAGTACTTCGTAGATTGTTAGCTCGCCTGTCTATTTGAGTAAGTATTGGAGTGTTTTATAGGCGTGCTGAATTTTACAATTTTAGTCGAATGTTTCTAGAAGTTTTCACATTAAGAACTACAAGGTATACTTTGAAGACCGAAGTAAGTACAAGAATTTCGTGAGAGTTCTTACTTTTCCTAAACCATTGTTGATACTTTTAGATTACTTATCTTCATTCATTGGTCAAGTGCTCCCCAGTCATGAGCAGCATGCATAACTCCAGCGGGCTCTGATCTTTTCACTGCAACCTTGGCTCTTTTTAGGTCTGGGAACTCCGATGTAAACGGGCTTGATTTTTAACAATATTTGGTCGGAATTTCGCATTTTTGAGCACACGAGTTTTTAAGTCTGTAGATGTGAATTATTTGGGCTCACTAGTGGTCATCTCTTATGCAGGCAAACGCGTTTTGTGATTGTTGAGTTTTCTGGTTATTTGTACGTGTCCAAAGGCTCTTTGTTTAAATGTTCGCGAGTATTTGCACAGAAAAATATAAATTGGGTTTGGAATGATTATAGGTGAAGTTGGCTGTCATTTACAGTATGTTTAGGCCTCCGTTATATCGGTTAATTATTAGTTGACTCACATTTTACCATCATGATCGATGCTGATCTCTTAATTCACTGTATTATTTTTACTCAATTAGATGTGGTAGAATTGACCTGAATAAACTCTTCGTCAGCGCAGAGGAGATTGGCAATCTCTATGACAACCAAGAGGCACCTGAAGGCTCGTCATCGAATCGGCCCAAGTGGCAGGATAGGAAGCGTAGCCAGCCGACATCCAGAAAAACGAAACGGGGACAAGCGTCATTCGCTCTGAAGAGGCAGAAGTTCCAGCGAAAGCGAGGCGTTATTCCATCGGCAACTAAAAAACCGCGACGACGTTAATTCCATCACCGCTTATTGTACAGTGTCGAATTCTACTCCTCTTTTTTGTATCTATTTGTCTTTTTAAATGAAAATCGGCGACTCTTAACAGACTTGGACACACACGCGGGTATCGGAGTCGACTTCTGCTTCGAGAATGAAGCAGGTGATTGCTTTACAGGCGTGCAACCCGTGGCATCAAGCGTTATTTGGGTCCTTTTACTGCTAGTGGGCTTGCACATAATAGGCCAATCCGGTCATCAGCCGTCGACTAGTCTCCGCACGGGGGCAACTGGGTAGCAAGTAAAGTTTCCTGCGTACCCAGGAGTCCCCACTTCGAATTGGAACTTAATTGCGAAAGGTGCAGAGGTCTAGTCTTTGCCTTAGTCTTTTCGTCCCACTCTTGAAAATAATCCTGCACTAGGTCAGTAAAGTTCGAGTTGGGTTGTTTAAGGGGACCATCAACTTCTATCTTGTATTTATTATAAATTGGATAAAAAGGCACACGCTTGCTCTCATATTTCTGTTTATAAAAATGCCCCCTAGCCTATATGAATTCCCTAGAGTTCTAGCCCGCAAATGGATAGTAGTAAAATACTTCCACAAGCCAAATATTTGCATTAGCTGCTGTTAAAATTTATAAATTATTTGGTAATATTCTAGCTCTGTCGTTAACGTGATTACGGAATACAAACCGGGCGCGGAAAGTAGCTCAGCCTGAGTTATTTAAGTGGGCTCCACTACATCACTGGTATTTCACCTTTTGATACAGCGAAGCGCACAAAAATTAAAATAAAAAGCTGTATTAATTTTCTGCGTAGTAACCAATGGTTTTAAAACAATATCTTCTTTCGATGCAAAAACCTCCGCAAATTTAAAATAAGCTGCCAAATAATAGTGTAACAAAACACTAATAGTTATGGAGGCAAAATAGTTTAAATATATTTTACATAGCAACCAGACATTGCTATATAAATATCTCTTATGTTAAACCTGCGATAGTAAAGCATGCGAGGCGAAATGTGATGCATAGGTTCTATACCACAAGTGGAATTGTTTCCACGGATCGTTAATGTTCCCACAATAAATTCACGTAGGATGAGCCAAGTCATGCGCATCTTCAGGATTTGCGCTGTTTTGTGTCAGCTTCTTTTAAACATGGTGCTACTCCTAAAATTATGCTTGTATTACCATTGAACCATTCTTTTCAAGTCGTGTACACTTTAGTCTGGAAATCGGTAACATTTCAGAAGGGTGTTTAATCCGTTTTATAGGGCACGATCACCTTTAAAAGTTCCACATTGGTAGGATTTCTTTTAAAGTGCATTTTAAATGCTACAGTTAAAATTTAGGCCTTAATTTGAGAAAAAACCAGCAAACCAATTTAGATTAGCCAAGGCACGTATCATGTAGTAAAAGTAGGTTCAGTCTATTTGGGAAGTTAAGTTGAAGCATTGTTACGACAAATTTTTCATAATGACAATAATCAAAATACTTCTGCCTAATGTCATCACGACCTCATGTCAATCGTTTCGTTTTCAGCTACGATTTTCCATATTATCAATTTGACAGTGGTCTGCTCTTTGCAGTTTGTCACAGTGAGTTAAGAGAATTGTTTCGTCCTTAGTTGCTGCGTGATAGAGATCATACTTAACGGCACACTGGCATGACCACAGAGCCGAGAAGTCTCGTGCCCTCTCTCTGTGAGATTTGTTTTGTTCATTTCTTTACGGCTATAGCATAGCTTTTGCAAATTTTACCGTAAGCTCTTGTAATAAATATGGCAAACCTTTTAATTGCTCCAGTGTTTCCCAAAGAATTGGATGACTTAAGTGCATTTGTAAGAGCCTTGACTACTGACAGTTTAACGCCCACTGCGTTCTGTGACTACTTTGCTTGAAATTTACGAACTGAAGTTGATTGCGCCAATTACTTTCCATTGCGTCACCGATGACTAGACAGCTCTAGTAAATTGCTCTTTGTCCACAGAATCTCTGACAATTGCCATTAAAAGAAACAAACGTTGATTTACCAGCCAAATGCAATGAGCAAAAGAACTCTTTAGGTATCAATAGGAAAGACGTGTTTTTTCCTGTGAGTTGACTCTATCGTGATGTCGCATTATGCACCTTAATTAAACCCAAGAACTATTTCAAGATAACTGCATAGGTCTGCTTTTAATGGCGATATGAAAAGTTGATGTCACCTACTCGTTAACTGAGCTAACAGCCAACTTGTCAAGAGCCTGTGCGTTAAAGAGGATGTTGTAAGCGTTGTTAAAAGACCACTTCTCCGAACTAACTTTAACGTCACCTATCCACTTTTTCTCGCACAAAGCTGTAAGGAAGCGGGATCAAGTTTTGGGTCATGTGAAATTGGTTATTATTTCCAACTAAAGCTGTTCAAAAAGACAATGACACCACAAAAGTTAGCGAAAAGCTCATGGCAGTTTTTAAAAAAGTCGCACAAAAATCTCCTTTAACTAAAGCATCATTTGACGACACGATTCGTTCATTTGCATTGCTTGATCTCAAATTGTTTCACTTTTTGCAACAGTCTTTTGTTGGATAAATGAGGCGCGCTAGTGGCGATGCTAGCTGCATTAAATGAACTCATAATACATTGCCGGTCGAAAGTACCGGTCATATTATATTTCTCCCTATAGGTACCAACTTAGCAAATCGTTTCTCTTTTTCACCTCTGATTTCATATTCTTGGAAAGATAGCGAATGTATGGAAGACATCTTTTATTTGAGGAGCATGATGAGAGTTCGCAGTTGGTCAAGATTAAAAAGGCACCGGAGTTCGTTCCCTTGGCAAGGGACCTTAGCCCCCTTTGTCGCGTCGTTGGCGTAAATTTACCACTTGCCAAACAAACACGCATTGCAACAATTCACTATCGTCTGTGCTTGACCTAAAAAACTGCTTCGCATTTCATGTGAATCTAGTCATTTTAAATCAACTGCAAGTACGGATTTGCTTTAAAAATGCAAAGTACAATCCTGAAAAAAGCCTTTACGTCATTTTGAGACAGGGCATCGTAAAGGAAACATTCAGATTAGTCAAGCCACTTTCAGTTTAAAGTAAAAAAACGAAAATTAAATTCGACTGCACGGTGCTATCGATGTGTTTATGCGTTGGTTCAAGGTCAAAAGATCACCCCATCTCTAAACGGAAAAATAGGTGCCATAAATTTTCTTTACGCAAATGTGACGCATGAAGTTACTTCAGGGGAGAATGTTTAGGCTCTCAGTTCATACTTGGCAATACAATACAACACTATGCCGCAAACCTTTCCAGAAAACCTTACCATAGTGTATAGTCTTCTAAAATCCAGAGACGTACAAACGCATATTAAGAAGTACGGGTATTGCATGAGATTTTTTCAAATGAAAATGTATCTACATCGCCTTCAGTAATGCAGCTCCCCGGAACTTCCCTGAAGACTAAAGAAGACAATACTTAGCCAGAATAGATATATTCTACATACTAAATGGCTGGGAGCTACGAGCATGACCCAAAGGCCAGCCCACTTGGCGAAGGTGTAATGTCTTACCACCTGAGTAGCTCCTTTATCAGAAACGAGTGTTAAACGACCAACATATTATATGGACCCTCTCCTGTTTAGCGCGTCATTGGTCATCCCCCGCATCAGCCATCACAACGTAATCAGTGCTGTAAGGAAGCGCCCACGGGCCAACCGTGCTATCCGTCGAATTTCCATGAAACTGAGAAGCTACTTGATCGCAACCACAATGATCCCTCTTGGCAAATCTACTGCATCTGGAGTTTCGTCCTGTTTGGGAACCGGATTCAGGGGCGAAGAAATGTGCTGGTCATTGCGCGTGTCCATAGCTAGTCGAAGGAACACTAGTCCAAAAGCACGGTCATGTAACAAAGAATGGGATTTAGCATAGTTCCTCTGGAGTGAAGTTCCACTTCTATTTCGTTTGCTACGTTGTTCGCACTTCACCGCTGTCCTGCCATACCTATCTGGGTTCGCTCCAACCAGCGAAAAAGTGGGGGAGATTATCACCTATCCACTTCATTGACATCTTCATAGGGGTGAGGTTGAAAGCTCTGTAAGTAGCTTTTTCTGATGGTTTTGGCTAGTGTCGCTTTAATCGTTAAGAGCTTTGCTGCAGACCATAGGACTGTAGGCGTTGTCACCGATTCTCCCATCCACAGCATATGCAGTTGAAATCAGGATAGACGTCCTTTTAGGTCGGGTGCGCTTTCACGTGCCACCCATGTGACTCCACGAGACTTTTCAAAAGGCGAAAGGGGACATAGTGAGGGGGGCTACTGGCTTGACCCGGAGGCCAGCCTACCTGGCGAAAATACAGTGGTGGAACACCTAAGTGGCTCCTTTACCAAAACCGAGGATTAAACAAATAACCAACGTATTGCAGTAGTGCTTGAATTATCTCAGAAATAAACTGGCTTATTCTTTCATTTGGAAACGTCTCTTGGATGCATTTAGAATGATCTGTTACTGGTGAGGCAAAATCAAGATACATAAACCACTCCAAATGATGATGATTCAAGCCCGAATAAATACTCACCACTAACAGGTTTCTCATTCACACTTTATGTTTAGAAATGTACATTCGAAGAAAACTCATTGTTGTTCGCATGACCACATTACAGATCAAAATATAATCCTGTTTTCTAGTAAACAACAGCAGTATGAATTAAACTCCCTATCTGAGTCAAGAATAACTACAAAAAGCTTTTTTCTATTCAAGGAGCTTAACACTCGCAAAAACCTTCACCGTTTCCGTGACATCTTGTTTTTTTTTTTCTATTTTCATCACGGCATAAAGTAGCTGCCTCTAAGGCAGCAGACTGATATAAAGGACTTTTGTAATCAAAAAATAATTTACTTTGTAGTTGCTAAGTTGCTTTGATAGACTATTCAGAGATATTCATCATCAGCGTATAGACTGAGAGCATGGGTGGCACGACCGTAGGTACATGCCACCAACGTGTAGCCGAAGCGTGGGAGACCGCAAAAGTCTACGTTGCTAGACATGTAATTAAAGCAAACATATTTTCGTTGCACCAAGATATAAACCAAGTCATGGTAATGATGAACTCCCAAAGATCATCAATTAAAAGCGGATTTAACAGCATTAGCATGCTCCAGCGCTGGAATGGAAGCGGAAGTGAAGTACTTTGTTACGGAGCTTTTAGGTGTTTGCTATCTTTACAGTTGTCTGCTTTGTTATTAGATAATTTTAGGGGTTGAATTCTGCATAAAACACAAAACACAAAAACAGTAGTCAATCGAGTTAAAACGAGTGTATCTGCGCACTAGAATAAATCAGAAGGCAAATTACCTCGATTTTGGTGCCAAAAAAGAGCCAGTTGATCAGACTTCTGTTTAACAAAAATATATCACCAGCTCAGTTTTTAAGAAAGAAATTTCTAAAAACTGACACTTTATCAATAACGAGGAAAAATATGCACACAAGAGTTAATCGTCAACATTGCAGATTTACAATCATCAAGGTTCTAACTAACTATTCACACGGAAAATAGTAACGAAAAATAATTTTGTAAGCATAAGGAGTCTTCCACAATGTACAAGACGGGCCTCAGTAATTTCATTGTGTGGCTCAGTCAAAATCCGCAGGGATCTAGATTCGGATCTTGGTAACGGCCTACATAGGGCCCTGTCACTGTACCTCAGCTGGGCGGCCTGGCTTCCAAGCCATGCCAGTAGCCCCCCAGACCTGTGCGTTGACAGTACATTAGTACTTGTCCGAGCATTGTGTCTTCTTTCGCATTCAGGGAAGTCTCGTTGGGCTAAAAATATTAAGGCAAATCACTTCAACTAAACTCCGTCAGTTGCAAAGCCGACCACTGTTGCAAATTTTCACCATAACTGTTGTCTTTATTTATTAGCTGATAAGAAATAACTGAAATCAAAAAAATGTCATCACTCACATGAACGGCCCTTCCCCTCAGACAGAATCGTAAACATCGAAGAATGCACTTAGTGAGAGACCGAGTAAATGCATTTACCGACTGGAGTGAATCGGAGATAGAACTGGCCTCTACTTATGCACAAATTGGAACAATTAAATGAGCAGTTGTCTAACAAACAACAATGCATTACGGTAAAATTGATCCCACTGAGATGTAAATTCCGAACAGTCAAAAATCGATTTGCAAAAGATTATTGCGATTTGACAATAAAATTATACCAGCCTTACTGAGTTTCACCCCAATGTAACTTTGCTTAAAAATGAATTCTTGGAATTTGATCACCAGACAAAGTACTACATCCAACATTCACAATCCTCCTCCCGCAAAACCAATAACCAGTGAAGTGAGTGAATGTATTTGCGCAAAAATAAATATTGAAATTAAATAATCTCCACGAAAGAGGCAATGGAAATGGGCAAATCGGTCAACCATTCAATGGGGTTGATTGAACGGCTTTTTTGTCGACTAGGATCACACCCCGCCACGGAAGAGGCGTGCAATCATGTCGCTGCAGTGCATGGTGGCACGGCGGTAGTCGGCGTTGAGGAAACTGAAGTTGAGAAAGGCGTGCGGCATTCCACTAGCCACGTGCAGCTCCACGGATACCCCCAACGCTTCCGCGCGCTTGGCAAGCTCTAGGGCGTCGTCCAAGAAGGGGTCGTACTGGCAGGCCTGTCCGAGAAGAGCATAAACTACAGACAATTGCAACTATGGATTTAACTACGCGAACTCTTCAGTCTCCATAAACTTCGATAGCTATCTTGACATTCCGTTTTCAACATCTTTGTTGACGGCTTACCACTTCCGCAGATTAGTACACCTTATAGCGTCTTCATAAAGAACTCAGACACTAAAACATCATGCTTGGTGACGGAATATTATTTGGAACGTCATTGATGAGAATAGGAACACCAATGTTATCAAGGCTATCATGAGCACAGAAGGAATCCGTAGCTGCTGTTTTCCAGAATGGCAAACATTAATCAAGTTTATGTGAAGACAAAAATTTCGTGATTGCATCCTCCTTAAACATTGAGAGATCTCTTGCGTCATAAATATGAAACAGGCTTCTAATGTCCCTTGAAAGATAACGTGGATGCAGAAGAAAAAGTATTCAGACCGACCAAATACTTTTAGAATAGCTAAGTTTGGCAATTACCAAATGACAAAACAATAAACAGAATACGTCCGATTTTTGGGCTCAAAAACAGAAGCAGTGAATGAAATGTGGATAAAACAATGTCTTTCTGCATTCAAAACCCCCTTTCCAGTGGTGTGAAGAAAAAAAGCAATGTTGACGATTAGATAATATTAAAAATGTCAAGTCCTTTTAAAGTTCAGTGTAAAGGCTACGAATCCAACACCGGCTATAAGGTGCATGACCTTATTGTTGCCTTAGTGGTTAACTACAGGGGCCCTGAGAATGTTGTCGTCATAATTTATGTGTATACAACCATAAGAGGACGCCTAAATCCCCTATGATTAGTTACCCCGCAATAAGGATGAAAAAGAATACTTCGACGACCAGACACTGTCAATAACGTCAAATTTGATTAAGGAATCTGAGAAACTATTGGGAGGAATCAAACTTATCCACACGAATGTCAGTGTGGTCAAGACTATCATCAGCGCAAGGCAAATCTGCGCTTATTGTTTCCCCAAAATAATAAGCAGTGTATCAAATGCTTGATAAAACTGCTTTGAATTCGAGTGTAAACCAAACGGCAGGAAGATGTGGCTTTCTAATACTATCGACCATCGACGTGAGTTCTGGATTACATCTTAGGTAAATAACACTAGAACATTCTTGCTTAAAACGGTGAAAGGGCACTATTGTGTGTGCAGAGGGCATCGTCGGTTAAAGTTGTGCAAAATCTATGAGAGACGTCACGTTACCTAATTTCCTCTGGTAAGGCCCTAGAAAGACGGCTAGCAAGTCCGGGATCGAGAAAGTTGCTCAGTGGAGACCTTAGATGGGTCAACAATTCGGCGTAGCTCTCTATCCAACCTCCACTACTCAAGAATGAATGGTGGAAAAATTCTATGGTTTAGTTCTTCGTTAAAAATCATCCCTTTTGAAGCATTATGTTTGAAGAATGATTCACAAAATAATATAATAGAGGCTTTGTGACTTACGACAATGAAGACCACCTGGAAACGTATGTAGCCTTTTTTGAAATCAAATCAGAGTAGAATTTGGAGCTGATGTCAGCTTTATATTAAATTCCTAGAGCACAATGTTGTCAATAGTACAAGAGACTGATGTTTTGATTATAACTAGTGTGACGTACGATCCACCACGTCACACTTTCTCATCAGCTTTTATGAAAAAATTTAACCTTTTACGAATGACCTCAGAGTGACGTACCACAATAGCAAGAGGTGGCAGCAAGCGGAAAAGCTCATCGGAGGCGAGATAAGGTGAAAGAAAGGGATCTTGTGGGATGGGACACTTGCGAATACGTTGGAGTTTTGAGTCTACGCCATAAATTGTCTCATCACACGATTCGTCGGTCCCCCGCACTTTCGTTAGCGGTTCCCACTTCTTGCTGTTCTCTAAAGGGTAAACGCCAAACATAGAAGCCTCCTCCATTCTCAGTTTCAAACAAACAGACAGTTTGAAAACAGAAAGAATTGAAGGTCCATTTTCATCAAGAAGCAAGGGAAAATCCGAGAAGACTGAAGAGTAAGGAGCTGACCTACCATGGTCCTCTTTTTTGGCATTTTCGTTGTCAGTGTAGGCGTCTTGAACTTCCAGTGAACCTGTAGGGGAGGACGGAAAAGAAGGAGTGGAGGCACTAAATGAGATCCCTGGGGAAAGATCGTTTTTTTCGGCCTCGAAGAGGTCACCGGAAGCGGTGACACGACGTGAGATGACGCTCAGACGGTTGATCAAGGGGGTTGCAGGCGAAACGGAAGAGAAGGAAGGAGGGAACCAGGTAGACCAGAGGCGTGACCACAGAGGCACCGAGGTCGACCGGGGTAGTTGCTGCTGTTGTTTGGATTGGTGTGTTTTGCTTTCTGACATCGATGCTGGCATTGAAACCTTACGCTCGAAGGATGCCTCGTCTATGCCGCTGTATGCTGCGGTAATATATCAAATCAACTTGTCAGGAATTTTGATACAACAAAAAGTAATGAACCATCTTAGATGTGTGAAGACAGAAATGCATGGCAGTGAAGTTTACTTATTCATAACAAGTGCTAGCCGTTTTTTTCCACAACTTCGCCATCGAATCCCCCATTAACTTAGCACTTTCTCAACCAATCCATCCATTTATTAACCTGTTTAACAATCCAATCAACTTATCATCCATAACACCTTCAAGTAATTCCTTGAACAATTTATACACCCATTCATAAAACCCTTTATTCATTTACCCGTTGAGGATCCACTCAATAATTTATCCATTCATCTAACTACCTCCCCACACAATAATTTACTAGCATACCTCAAAAATAATTTATTGTCATCCACTCGTCAATCTATCAGTCCGTGTATCCACTAATTTAGGAATTGGTCAAAACATCCAAACACCTATTCGTTCACCTTAAAAGCTTAGTAATCGATCAAACGTATACCTATTCAAACTCATTCATTTTCAAGACACTCAAATATCCAACTTCTCAAAGAAATAATTGTCTACCCATTTAAATTGTCTGTTAAGCAAACCTCACACTTATTTGCTGAACCATTTATTCAGTCATCCGACAAATAATCTATGAAATAACTCATCCACCCAGCAACTCAGCCATCAATTCAAAAGCTAACTTATTCGAAAATCCATCGATTCATTAGCCAGTCCAACAATCTACTTGTGTGACCATCCATCCTTCCAGTCGAAAACCCATAAAGTCATTCACTCATTTACATACTCTCCCATTCATTGAAACATCTGTCCATCGACCTAGGTATCCATCCAATAATTTATTCCCAAAGGGGAGTCATACCCATGATGCAGCGCGAGATAACGCCGATGGGCAGGAGAGGATCGCAGATAGAGAGCATGCGCGAGGGCGAGGGCACGTAAGCGACGACGGCAGGTGCGTAAGCAATGAGGGCGCCCACGGGGCGTGCGATGCCGGCGTGCAGCCCAAGGGCGGCTGCACGAAGGCACACACCGAGGGTCAGATTCCCACCAGCAGAGTCGCCGCACACCACTACCCGTGCGTCCGGCCTAGCTCCCAACCGCACCCGGTTGGCCATCACCCAACACACCGCGTGGAAACACTCGTCCAGCGCCCGCGGGTATGGCGACTCCGGTGCCAGCGAGTAGTTCAATGAAATTATCGGACAGTCAAGCTTCTCTGCCCAGGGACGAACATAAACCTACAAATCAGGACACAGGTAAAATACGTAAGTGGGTCAATTGCTGTGATGAACTAAAAAAGTAGCCAGTGTCCACTTTTCCGCCTCAGGCAAATTTGCACCTAGCAATCACAAGAACACAAATTAGACACCTGCAAGAGTGAAAGAATCCCTCAGATCAAATACTATTAAGTGAGTTAAGAACAGGAATTAGCCACTCCCAATGACTCAATTGAACTATTGGACAGTCCGATGCCATTTATTGGCGCTTGTCAGCAATGATGCAAATCGTATCTGGATAAGTTGATAAGATAGACTGGCCTCAGATATGCTAGAAACCACATTGATTCCTTAACACCGCAATGTTACCTGACTTCACATTATATGGAGACTGCATAATAATAGCACAGCTGCAATCCTTTACAAGCCATCACTATGGCCAACTTCTAAGTAAAATTCACCGGCAACTACGGATTGGAGCATCAAAGCATTAGGTCGCTAATCCAGTCCAAATATCACTGTCTTCAGAGATGTAAACCTGAATACTAGTAGATTTTAAAATATTAGTGGAATATTTCAAGACCATTATGAAAGTGCATAGTTACGCTAACTGATGGAATTACTCTAGTACCTGATATAACAACAACTACCATGCAGGAAGAATTAGTCCTCTAAGAGCATAAAGGATCAAAGGCAGCTCATCCATATAAAAAGGGTGTGCTTTATTTATTTAATAAAGGATGACTTAATTATTGCGAACCATAATCCCGCTACCACAGGTAATGGAATAGATAAATAACCCAAATTTTCATAAACAGTCACACAAAACTAGAAACAATATTACAAACTCCATGCCAGACCCCAATTATTTGTGGCATTCATCAATCACTTCGCCATACTTTCATGGCAAATTTTCAGGTATCATTACCGATTTACAAAACAGTTCCATTCAGGTGGTTCATTCGATTAGTGTAAATTCTGCGTCTATCCATAGAATGACAACATGACTCAAAATAACACATTACTGGGAAGAACTCGCTAATATTAGGAAGACCGTGTACACTCATTTTTCAGTAGATGATAAATTTAACATTAGGTTGTCAAACAACCTTGATATAGGGTAGAGATTGTATTACAGTTAATAGAGAAAACAAGCTTATGTTTTCGGTTTAACATACACATCGAAAAGGTACGAAAGATAATAACCAAAACTACGGACCTGGAGAAGACGTAAAACCAGTGGACGGTGGTAATAAAAGCGAGAGGACGAGGCAGAAAGATGAGTGGTATGAACACCAGTGGAAATAAGCCATTAGTATCCACGCGTTGAGGTAAGTAAAGCAGGAGCGCTAGATTCACGTGTGATTGTTGGTCTCGGCGTGTTCAACCACAACAGGATGTTTGCGGAACGCGTGACAAAGGAGTGATGCTACAATTATGCATATCATTTGTAGTAATGCAAAAAAAGTTCACCTCTTCCCTCGTAGAAGTGTACCCTTTGCCAATGAATATCACTTTGAAGGAAACCTCTAGCAGTCAAGGTGACTGTGCGTTTAGGCATCAGTTAGAAAAATAAATGAGGTAAAATAAACAGGAGAAAGGCAATATGTCGGAAAAGGAGAAAAAAATGTTTACATTACCACAAGGACACCACTGCGATCAAGGGTAACACAAATATGTAAGCGAAATGAAAATAAGATGGTTACGAAATGTAGGAAATTCAAACTTTAAATTCTGTCCTTGTTTTGCATCCAAATAGGTAAGTTTCAAAATTAACATGGAGGATGCAAAGTAGCATAGTTGTCAACACCTTCAATACTGGCAACGGACATTCTTCAGGCGATTTTTGGGCAAATGCATTCTTCTAAAATGTAGTAATAGTTTTATTGTAAAATGTCTGTTTTAAGTAACATTTTTACCCTAGGTTACAATCCTGTTCTCAACGAGTAGATGACTCCTCCATTCGGAGGGGACTAGCAATATACAAAGCCATGATAGCATAAAATTTCTACACAGAAAAGAAGCCTTTGTTCACGGAAAACAATAAAAATGACACAAGGATTACCATTAGATGTTAGCGAAGCCACTGCTAAGCCATGAAAAAAGAGCATAGCCAATGGTTTTCAAATAACAGAATATCACTTTATGAAGGGAGATGAATTTACTACCTCTTTATTGAATAAGAGATCGATCTGGCTCAAAGGAAGTTGAGTTACACAACAAAGGAAAGCTGAGTGACTGAAGCCGTGCGCGCGCCTACACAGGAGTCACCACAAATATGGTTTTTCGTGTTTTTGGTTGACTTGAATTTCTCACAGTCAGAACTACAAAGCACGAGGGCTAAGCATAGATGAAACGGCAGTTGAGAAAAGTCACAGGGATTGTAAATGCATACAATAACACACCGAGTTGCTCCAGCATGTCAAGAAGTGGTAACCATATTATTACCTTACGGCTGTGATCATAGGCTTAGGAGGAATGACCTAACGTAGGCCAAAATACTTGACCGAATGATGTAAGTTAAGCCAAAATCCCAGTGAAATTCAAATCAACTTTTGAAAAATAGTGGAAACAACTGAGGAAAAATTGGAAGTAGTAAAGGTGAAACCACCACTGACATCAGGAACTCGTAATCATGCACAGGTAAATCAGTGTTGCGTTAAGGTGGCCTAGAAAAACCCAAAGAAAGGTGCAATTGCACGCAGTGTTTTGCTACAGATCAAGTGTCGCCGTGGGGTGAGTATCACAAGCCTGCGTGATGCGAGAGAACAGAAGAAGTGCGGAAATAGAGAGGACTAAGTGATTTGCTAACTAAATAACACATTCAAATTTTGCGCAAAGTGAAGGTGTCATTTTAGAGGCCCTGAGCCATGGAGGGTACTCGATTCTGAAGCGGATGTATACCGCAAAGTTTGCCATTTGGTACTGTTGCTACAACATTAGACAATTGGAAACGGGCTTTCATGCCAACAAAAAGTACTTGTAACTATTTGGAAAATCCAAAATGTTTGATAGAATGCCCTAGTAAAGCCGGGAAAGTTTTAAATTGAATATTTACCAAAAGGTAATCTTCTTTTACTTAGAAGGCCTTCAGGCCTGCACTATTTAGCACATCTCTATGCTAATTGCTCAAGCTATCACAGTAGGCAAATGTCTACTGTAGCAAAATTTTTGGGCCGAACGACATGGGTGTTTTCAAGGTACCATTCAAGCACACGGTGCCTGGAAAACGAACTTTGAAATTACGTCCGTCACTGATTGTCATGTCCTCAAAATATTTGCCCACTACTTGGGAACTGCAAAATCCCTCCGCCCTCTTCGATTGAGTAATCTTTAAGATGGCACAAATATCACTAGTTTGGACACGTAATCTTATCTATTGCACCTCTCTTTCATTCTCACATAAATATATTTAGCTTACTAAAATGATCTTTTATAGGGGAATAGCAACTGGTGATATTCGTAACATATGGTCGGTTACTTTTAGAGCTTTTAATGGATGGACCGGGGTTGGTAGGGATGAACTCGTAATTAGGAAGTATTTCAGATATGCACATATAGTACCCCACTTTGGTGTAATTTTACTTGGGGTAGAATTGTCCCAGTAATCATGGAAATTTGATGCTCAGATATCCCTAACATTGATACATACACATCGTGCTTAAACACGTACACAGAGTTAGTCACCCTATGAAGGTAGATATTACATAACAATATAATGGTAACTTAGTCCTTAAAAACTTCTTAATAAATAGGCAGAAAAGTTCAGAATCTGTATTCCTTTCATAGGAGTTCTGAAAAGAAAACACGAAAATTGCCATAAGTGTCGATGAGTAAGTGTAAAACCGCTTTATTAAATTCTCAAAACTTGCTTGGCCCTGTTAAAGGTGATAAACAAACTGACACTTGTTGAGCATCAAGTCCAAACATGACCTTAAATGTGACTAAACGTTTACTAACCTAAGAAAATTGACATCTATACATTCTGAAAAGGCCGAAAAAACCCAACCAAGCCTCTGCACACCTTAAACAGTGAGGATATGAAGTACTAGCAACTCCCCACTCACGTCGTGTGTCTCCGAGGAGAGGGCAATAAATCCACCACCGTGGATGTGAACAAGAATATAGGGGGAGGGATCCGTCTCCAGATGGGCGTTGGAGGCTGCTGCAAATGCTGAAGACAACGACCCCAACGATAATTTCTTTAAAGACCCCTTATTGGTCTTTCCACCCTCTTGTCCCTGATCCAGAGGCCAGACCATACCTCTGCGCCAAAATTTGCTGATCACACGCACTGAAATGCCCTTATCGCCACTGGGCGGGTTAATAGTTACCGTGGAAGGCCCACCATTACCTTAAAAGAAAGAGATATATAACTATCAACCATACTTGTGCGAAATAGGACAATTATCCCTGATCAGTGCCTACTTGGTTCAGTTTCTAAGGTCACAGCTACGTTTGGTAAGATGAATGTGTGACAAACGGCCATCTGAGGAAGAAGGAGCCTGGGTACGTCGATGAGGAAACGATTCTGGGCGAGATTCCAAAAACGCTTGCAAAATTGAACGTCTGCCGAGCGAGTAATATGGGCTATTCGACAACCACGTTCCTCGGGCGAGAGGAACGATGTAACGCTGTGGAAAACGGCATTCACAAAACCCGATATTCCATCCATTGCACACTAGGAATGTAAAGGATACCACACATTGACAAATCAACAATTAAATGGCTACATTTATGGGCGAGCTGAACATCTACGAAGATAATTGAGGTGGGCTAACTGTCACACAAATAATCGATAACCAGACAAGAACCAAATGACTCTGTGACAAAAGATTCACCTGGTAGCTATCAGCAAATCCAGCCATAATACTGCCAAGCATTTTAAAGAAATTTTGAGCGGGAATATCCAAGTAGAATGCAATTGCTCGACCGTAAAAGACATCTTGGTGAATTAGATCAAAGTAGTCAATGAGATCATTGTAGTGAGCAAGCGAGATACTTGACGAGGCGGAAAAATTTGCACAGGAAATGTCTCTCATGCACTTTGAGATGCGCATTGGAGGACCAAGATTGTCGTGCGTTCGAAATGGAGCGATTGACAGGTTGGCATAGTGCAGATGGGGAAATAGGGTATTCGATGAAGCGGAAAATTTGGGAAACTCGCAGATTAGGAGAATGCAGAAGGCAAGCTCTTCGAGACACCGCAAGTAGGCGATTAGAGACTCTTTAATAGCGTTTGGCCTGTACATAATGAAAATGACATACCAGCATGAAAAATTTATCGTTTTTGCACGAATTTGAGTAAAAGGCCTACCATACAGACAAAGTACGGCGGTCTAGGTTACGAAGGTGAGTGAGAATCTTGATCAGACAACTCGACACAACGGAAAGAAAGGTCCGAAAGCCATTCGCACGAATATTTTGATAGTCATATTTCCCAACGAAAGAATAAATGTACTTCAGTTGTTCAATGAACCCAGTTTCACTCAGTAATTCATGCACCTCTAATAAGTGCTGATGTAGTTGCTCAGCGATATTTGATACACGGTAGTAGTTCGGACTCTTAGTAAGTTCTGCAGCCTGATAACACACATAACACTAAAATACGGAGTATTATGGTGGAATAAAGCACTTACTTCCTGTTTAACTTCCAAACACAATTGAACCAGTCTCTCGCAATCACTCCTATCAAGAGACTCTTTAGACAAAGCAGCTACACAAGAAGAATAAAAAGGAAAAAGACATACGGTCGGATTCGTTTTCTGGTACCGGAACAACCATCCTTGTTTCAAATAGCATCTTCTAAAATGAGCCTATTCCGCCTCAAAACTAGTACAAACGTACACTGCATTTTGAACTGCTGTACACCCCTTTCAGTGCCTTCAACTGAAGAGAAACATATTCCTTCAAAATTAAAGTTTTAACGAGATGAGAAGAAAACATATGCACGAAGTAAAAGCCAACACACGTCTTTTGTTAGGTCAAAAGACTTACAAGAGTTGGTAGGTCTTCTAAGGGTAATTTCAGTGCGGTAAAACAATGCCAAAACTAGAAATCAGTAAAAGATGTCACACTGCAAAAGGGCTGATTTGACTTTTAACAAAAATTACTATATTCAATGCATTATATGCAGATGCTTTGCAAACTACAAAAGCAATGTATTTGCTTTGCACCTGCGCTATATAAGGTTACTAAATAATTAAATGCATTGTTTTGCAAATTATTGTCAGCACCAATTTTTAAGAAAAGTGAAACAATGCTTGCGAAGCTAAGGGATAACATCAGAATAATAGATGCTGTCTTTAAGCCATGCAAAAAATAACTTGATGATATGCTGAAATCTTGGCACTACACACAAATCCCTACTCTTGCAACGTGCATGCAGACATGACAATGAATATCAAGCCCTTACATGCGGCTACTGTGCATCAAACTTTTTTCGTACCATATTTAGCACTGACTCCAAAAACAGTACTGTGGATCTCCCCGCCCTGAGTGTCCGAAGCGGAACTGGAATACAGCCATCATAGGTGTAATACTTATATTGTTTTAGCGTTCCTTTTAGAGAGGAGGCGGGGAAACGGATCAACCCTCGTGGCAGAATCGACGTCCTGCAGGCCTGAGAGTGGTTACGGATCCTCGCCCCCCTAAACTCTGTACTAGTTTTCCCCATTCATTTCCCCCAATAAATGTCGAAATCAAGCTAACCTGGTTGTTAAGAGTACGAGGAACGGGGAAGAGGAGCCATACGAGCCTCGTCCTACATAGGAGCTCTTTGGCGAAAATCCGCACCTAACAGCACCAGGATCCCGCACCCGGCCAGACACCAATCCACTTGCATCTACTCGGTAACTCAAACGACCACAGCAGCCGACTGAAACTAGTCACTCGACCCACCCCACCGTTTACTCCAGAAAAGGAACGCCATTGTTGCCAGTAGGAAAAGCTGCCAAATGACTATTTAAATGTTCAAAGGCCTACTGAATTTCGCCTAGCACCACTTATACCATTTCATTCAGGTGAAAAGAGCCCATCCATAACCACAATAATTCCCGATCCTAGCAATTCAAATTCGCTAACCTATTTAAGTAACAGAAAAGAACAACAATGCATGAGAAGACTACATTCGAATAAGTCGGTTTTTCAAATTAACACTGCACTTAAAATCTACAATAAGTTCACTACTTTGCACTTTCCGTAGGTGTTTTCTTGAAAAGTGCTTGCTGAATCTACAAAAATTCAAGTAAAATTACTCAATTTGTGCAAGTAAAAAGACAAGACGGTTAAAGATAAGCAAGGTTACCTCCACCGACTGTTTTGTGGCATCGCGTAAGAGTCGCAGGGTTGAGGGTTGACAGTACTCCTTCAACTCAGCAGGCGCTTCTTCTAAGGCCGCCTTCACCAAATCTACGACGGTTTCTGCCGATGTGATGGAGCGTGCAGACATTACTGGAGAAGGAAAGAGTTGAAAATTAATTGTCCTTTGAACAAGAATGCAGGAATAATAGAGTAGTTGAACAAACCAGCATTACGTAGACTGGCGTCAACAAAAGCGGGTACATGCTCGAGGTCCAGTTTCTTAAGGTACTGGAAGGAATTGTGGAAAGCTGATTTACTGAGTGGATGACTAAAACTTCCTGCCAAGTAGTTGAATGGAAGGGGACCGGTCGCCTGAAGCGGAGAACGGCCAGTTAGTGTGCCCTGTTTCTTTAACGTTATAAAAAGAAGAATTCGAGGAAACCATTACCTCAATAATGGGGGTGGCTTTATCCGTCAGACCGCGATGGATCAGGGCTGCAGCCAACTGCAATCGTAGAAGCGGTTGAGAGCGGCCCAAAGTGTTATCGATGATCTTGAGAGCTTTGGTAAGAGAGCAAAAGAGCCAATGGTCAGTAAACCTGTACAAAGATCTTATTGATAAACACAGAGCAGGAGGTAACATGCCCTCATTGACGCAAGATTCGGGCCACGCGGCGAACAGTGCAGCGACATGGGGACCGTTCATACAAAGTGTCAGACTCTGAGGAGGACAAGTTGTCAACACACCCACTGCTTCACTGAACTGTTCTTTGTTGAAAGCATCACCGGCGGCGCTAATTCTAAAACAAATCACATTAAATCAGCCAGTGTCCCAAATGGGCCACCGGGACTATCAAGGCCACACGAGAATCAGACACGCATGCACATGCACATCCGCTACGTAGTGGGGAGAATGGATTTTTGTCGAAAATAAGACTCACTGTACAAGACGGGAGAGGATTTTGAAAGGTAGACGCCTCTCACGCAATTCAGGAGGCAGGCTCTCAATAACCTGATCCACCAATTCCTTGGCTTGCATTTCCACAAGATGGCAAAGGAGAAGGTCAATTCCTACGTAGAAAGCAAAAAAGTAGCTAACGGAATAAAATATGAAGCAATTCGTTCATCCTGCAGTTAACTGTTTATCAACCGATGCAACAATACAAAAACAGGAATGGACTGGCTTTGAAGGAGGAAGGCATGGGAGATTTAAAACTCACGACCAGGACCCCAGAGCTTTCGAACTACGTCAACGAGGATACGAGCATTTTCAGCTGAGAGTTTATTGCTGAAATTGAAGAAAAATGAAGGTTACATTATAACAATGATATCAAACAGTTAAAAACAGTTGTCACCCAAACATGCCTTGCAAGAGTGTCAGCCAAGTGGTTAATCGATTCCTTCGCTAGACGAACCTGGAAGAAAATAAATCAAACGAATGATTGACCAAGTTAATAAAGAAAGTGTCATTTTTATATTTTAAAAAAAACTTACAGGATCGGAAATATCAGCATCGATAGGTTTGTCAAATTTTAAAGAGAGAGATTCAATTTTTGGTGTGTCACGAAATTGAGCTAAATAGGAAAAAAAGGAATTCAGATAAACGAAGAAGCTTTGAATCCTTCGGGAAAAAAACGAGTTTGGGAACACACCAACAGGTACTGTGAATTCACCGAGACGATGAAAGCTAATAGCTTCGTGAATCACTGGATCCACCTCATTTTGCCTAAAAAAGTGAAGAGATATCCGCATTATTCATAAATCAATCCTATTAATGATCTATTCAAACCAGGATCCGTTATTTAAGCATGTCAGGATACTCACAAACCCACAAATTTCTCACACATGTCGTTTAATCATCTATCAATCCATTCATACGCCTACGTATCAAACAGTCCAGTATTCCCTTCAACAACTTATCCGTACATCCATCGACATCAGCACTCAGTTATGAATTTTACCGATAAATCTCTACCAGGCCCTTGAATGCTACACCCAAAGCGTTGCGGAGGAATGGTAGAGCCGCACTGGCGCAAGCGTCCAGTAACTCGGCATTTCGCTGATGTGCAGCCGAGAAAAGAATTGCTACGGCATCTATGACAAAAAAAAAACAAACATGGAATGAATCAGATCAAAGCTTACACACAGAATTCAAACAAAGGAGGCTACGATGCAAACTCACTTCGATAGCCAGACGTGAGGAACTGGGAAAGTATCACAGATTCCGCCGCAGCTCGTAACTTCGAGGGGTGGGACTTCTGAATCCTAACAACGAGCGTCAATGAAAGGCGAAGCATCTTACGAAAGCAGTGTCTCGTAGAGCACTTGACTTTTGCCCAGTTTTGTAGCCTTGACTACCGAGTCGCGTAAAGCAGTATGGACAGTGCCCGGGAAAATCGACTCGAAGTACTGCGTTCCAGTTGCATAACCCGCCTGAAATACGTAAAGGACGCCAGACGGTTGAATCAAGAGAAATGGTCTCTCATAGAAAGATAAAAACTGCACTTAAAAAAGAAACGAACCGTTATGACACGATTGATAGTGTGTAATTTCAAGAAGGTGCGGAGGAAGACCTGATTGGAGATGGACAGTCGGTCTTTGAGGCAGTCATAATCCGGGCTCTCTTCCTCCTGCATATTTGGTTTTGCAGCCACCTCGAGAAGGCTGAAGACCAGGCGTATCGGTGCTTTGTAGGTTTCTACAAAAAATATTTCCAATAAATCCAATAAGCAATGGCCTCCTAGAGTTCGAAGAAAGGTAGGCCCAGGTAATAACTTACTTGCTACGTCAAGAATTTCGTTCACCAAAGCAATCTTTGCCTCCAATGGCTTCGCCTTCATAACTTCGACAATCAAAGGAATGTAGCTGAGCTGTATAAAAAAGAGACGAAAAAAAGTTAGTAAAGTCTACCTGACTAAGCATTTGTGAGCAATGGAAGAACGATCACTTACCTGAGTGTTGACGAAATTAGCGAAAATGGGGACAGCTTCGTCCCCAAGTTTACCAATAATGAACTGCACAGTAAAAAGGAATTTGAATTAATCTTTTCAAGAAATTGTTGTTAGTACAAGCACCTATAAGTGCATAAAATAAGCATACGTGTGCTTGTTCAAAATTTCGGTTGGAAAGAGCGAGCGCGAGAGTAGGAAGGTAGGGCCGTTCAAGAACACAAAAGGTCTTCGCAACTGGAGAACAGGATGGACGATTAAAAATGTCGATCTCATAACGGAGGAAAAATATCTGACCAGAATATGGCATTACCTGTGTCTTTCTGTTCCGAGGTCATGGACGTCAGAGCTGGACTCGTCGCAACGGCATATTGCAAGTCAGGACGACGGTGAAGTAGTTCAACGAACTTTGCGCTGGATCTACAGCCAAAAAATGCCACATTTCGATTAAAGCAAACATTGCTGATAAACGCTATTGACATCATTGTATTTACCGTTTGTCCTACACTCAAAGCTGACATGAATAGCAGGAACAAAAAAGCTTAAACTCACTGGTCGCAAACGTTGTGCATACTTGTGAAATTACAATATTCACAATGTGATACCGTAAATTCCAACTATTATCAAACAAAATCGGACATCAAATTTAGGAAATGTATCAGACCCATTAGAGAATGGGAAAACGAAACAAATTCAACAAAAATAAGCTCTTTCACGGACACTGAAAATAGTGGGGCAAAATAAGCCATTTAAGTAATACTCGTGCATGCGTTTGAAATAAAAGCTTAAAACAAAACAGAATATGGCCCTTCTAAAGAAATTAGAAATAAGAGCTCACTTGGGAGACGCAAGACCACCACAACAGAGAGCAGCAATCGTATCCTTTCGTAGGAGACAGGAGATCCACTCCAAGACAGCAGTTTCATGTCCTGCTGCGACCAGTCTGCCAGCCAGAAGAGCCAAGTTTTCGGGCATGGAGAGTCGACTACCGGGTGATTCAATGACCTGATGTACCGCCGACCAGAAGACGAATTGAGTCTTCTTAAACACACTTGGACGCAGAGACTGCGCCACCGCGCTAGGGTCTGTGATGAATGGATGCTCTGCAATTACATCTGCAGCGGTATCGATTGCCGCGATCACAGAAGCTGTAGCCGCGTCTTCCGTCGCAGAATTGACTGATGCAATAACCTCCTGAAGTCGAGGAATCAGGGGATTGAGGGAGATGCCTCCGCGCAGGATCAGACGATCGGGAGTAAGGAGGTCGGCAGGAATACGGGGAACAGAGTCACCAAAGACTTTGGATGCAAGAAGGATCTCGGTAGTTTGAGGCAGTATTGTCAGACCTATCTGACAGGCCCAGTCACGAAGCGCGTAAGCAGCGAAGATTTGGTGATTTTGGCCTTAAAAATGCGAGGGTATGAATAGTTCCTCTCACCAAATCTGGGTTATTTCTATAGTTAATCAGTCTTACATAATTCCTCAACCGCAAGGTGGACGATGCGCATCTTCCGTAAATGATTAAAGGGTTCCAGACGTTTTAACAACAACTGAAAAGCAGAAAACATGTTCGTATTAAGGCGGAACATTTACTGTAAGAGTGGAGAAAGTAAATAAGCTGACCTTAGCGCCCAGAGCGAGTGTTGACGCGTTCTCTTCATTTGCACTTGTTTGAACCAATTCATATGCATAGGCGCCGAGGGCCATTGTTGAAAGAGTCACATTGTTCTTTTGTAGGACTAAGTGAAAAGTAGCAAATAATCTGCAGGTTCTCTTAAAGAAATAGCAATCAATATTCAGTCGAGACTCACTTTCTTCCATGACCTGTCGAGCCCTAATAGCATCCAACTGGACGACCTTATTAATGAACCAACGTGAGAGGATGATGGAGAGGTGTTGCGGATAACGATCTGCCATCTTGTTCAAGAAAACCACAACACCGTCCATATCGGAGCTAGAAGAGAAGCAGTGCGAATAAGAACCAAGTTTCAAATCTTGAGGAAATAAGGGCAAAGTAACATACGCGTTGAGATACTGTTCACCGACCTTCGTGGCGGAAACGGCAGGACTTTTAAGACCAGCAACCTTAATAAGAGCCCAAAATAGGTCTTCCAACTGTTTTGGCGTAAAACGAGGTGTTGAGAGTGCGCCTTCAACGGCATCTGTGCCAAGAGGAGCACTCGAAACGGCCAAAGCTTCGCCGAGGAGATCCGTATTATATTGGGAAAGGAGCCCAAGAGGGCTAGTCTCTTGGGCTATCGACTTTTGCATCTGCTTTAACTCTATTGTCACTTCTAAGGCAAGGAAATTAAAAGATAAATCCAGCGTTTTTGAGCAGATTCGAGTTTTTCCTCACTAACTAACCGGTTAATTTACATGGCACGAAACGGTACTGAGAACATATCATTATTATGCAAAACATTCAGAATTTAGTACACAAAAATGAAATCCGAAATCAAAATGAGCACGATAGAGTAAATCAGAAATGGGGATGCTAATCACTAACCTTCTATCTCTCCAGCTTTAATTCGATCGGTAAGTATGCTATGTTTGGAGCTGAATAATTAAGAAAATAGAATAGAATGGCAAGATACAGTAAACCAAATGAATGCTTGTAAAGAACTACTTGGAACACAGAAGAAATTACTGACTTACGCGCTACCAGCGGGAATCAATGCCGCAATGAACTCCTAGAGGATGGGGAAGATAAATGAATACAGAATCAAAAAACTAGTTTGAAAGGCCTGTTTAAACGTACATTTGACAACTCCAGCTCCTTCAAAATCTTTTTGATGGTATCTAGATAAGAGATTGGTACCTTCTGAAATAGAGGGAAACAAACTTGATGAAATGAGAAAATGAAAGGAACTTTTCAAGTCGATCACGATGGGAACAAAACAACCATTAATTAAGGAATTTTAGACAAAAGCACTGCTACTGACGCATGATCCCCGTCGAACTAAGAACTAAAAGAGCTTATTAGCTAAACTCATATTTAAACGTTCCTATTCAAACTCATTACAACTTCGGGAAGCTTTAGATGTCTTTTTAGAAGCATATGAGCTCAAAAAATTTACAAATTTCCAAAGTAGGCCCTGAACGAAAGCTCACAACAAACGAACCATTTTTGCGTGACCATTGTACAAATATACCTGCAATTGCGGTAATGTAATTCATTCCATCTTCAAGTGTGAAAATGGTCTTATGAAATTCAACCTGTACTAGTTATGTACGTGGTCGTGAATGGCTCAGAAGCGAAAAATTGTTAGCTATAAATAATTCAAACCTCCTACGTTTTTATCATTCAACAATGTTAAAAGTTCATACATCCGTTTCTAGCATTGCAGTGTTGGGGAAAACGCCCGTGTGACTGCTTCAGACGTTCGTTTTTAATTTGGTCCCAAAGCACTACCAATACAACAAATGAAGTGTCACAAATGTGACGAAGAATGTTAGTTAGTTGCGTTCATGGATTTTCTGATCCCAAAGATTCAATCATCAAAGACCACAGGAAGTAACTGCTGCACCCTTAACGATGCTGAAATAGCCCAGAGAGGCCTGTTTAGAAAAGCATCTATCAAACCACTCACCTGCCTATTAAAGTAGGCCACAAAGGCATTGGCAAGCGCCCGCCTCGTCTGCCTGTCTAAATTGGCAAAACGAGGGATGGTAGAATCCGTCACATCGACTGTGCTTTGGCCACAGAAGCGAAGCAAAGTACTGGCGAGTAGGGGGTAGCGATCAGCCCCAAAACAGGCGAAAAGTGCACTCGTCCAGGCCTCCAACTTCGCCCGATCCACTCCACCATCACTACCACTTTGGATTACGTATCTGACGCAGCCTCGCAGCTGAAAGTAAAAAGCATAACCAGTGAATCCTCGTTAATAGAAATCGGAGAGAAGGCTATTTATTACCAGAAGGTGAATGAAATTGTTGTTGACGGAGAGGTAAGAAGTAAAGGGGAGAAGCTTTTCGTCCTGGAATTGGACGATGAGTTTCTCTGCATTTTTCAGGCTGCTACCAGGCATGGGAGGATTCAGAAAGCTCGGCAGAGCGCAGAGTTCGTTGAGGACGATACCCAGAGCCACACAAGACTTCAGCAGAGGGCTCTTTGGGAAAGAGGAAAAGGAGAATGGGCTAAATAAACGCGAATTCGAGAACAAGAAAGACGTCGAAGTGAGCGAAGGGGCTACCTCGAATTTAGCTAGAGCTTCTGCTGGTGCGAGTCCTAGCGAAAGAAGACGAGGAATGACAATGAGATAAAGAAGATGGGAACGCTGATGACCAAGAATCCTTCCGAGTTCTACCACCACTATGAGAAAAGAGGTTTAGTTGAGTTACTGAACCGCAACGAAAGGTTTGAGATGGACTCCGACAATTCTAGTGCCACTGTTTTATTTTTCAATTACTACTATCACTAACGTACAATCTCAATAAAACCTGGGAAAAAAAGTAAACCGTAAGTAAAAGTGGAACAAACTTCCTTTTAATAACTACATAATGAATAAACAATCTGCTACAATCTCAGTTTCTTGTATTTTCAAATGACACCTATCAATCATATGCATGACAGACTTCAAAATGAATGAGGCGAAATACAGCACTACCTCAATAATTCAACAGCACTTAATTGACAAACGTTACCCCTATCGATCATTATGTTATTGATCCTTGAGCTATAATAAAAACTTTCAAATTAAAGGATAAGTAAAAAGGGGCTCACAGTCAACATCTTTATCCTTGACAGCTTTCAAGACAACCGCGTTGGCAACTGAGTTATATAATTCTGTTCGCAAAGGAAGATTGGCTCCCAGAGTCCGAAGTGCAGTTTCTAAAGTCATTTTATTTCTTTTTAAATGTCAATCTAACTAATATGCATCAGAGTTAGACATTCAGCTTATCTTGAAAGTATTAATGCCCTTAAAATGCATGACTCGCTACTACAGTTTGGTAGGATCAAACCAAACCAAGCTCCATTTTGTTCACGTCAATCTAAGAATAAAGTACCTTTCGACATGTTGCGGATAACTTCAGGTAATCGGCCAATAGCTCCAGACGACAACCAAAAGTCGTTTAATACTTTCGAGTCCTAAAAAAATAACGAGATCTTTTAAGGTATGCAAGAACCCTGGACCGATGAATGAGATGAAATACCTGTTCCGCCAGCAATTCTGGAATTTTGGAGAGGAATAAGACGGAAAAAGTGTGAGGACGCGTGTCCCTTAAAAATTGAAAAGCTGCATCAAAGTGGCCGGCCCTAAGAAGACGAGTGAGAGCAATGCCAAGTCGGAGGTCGTCAAAGTATGGGGGCCTTTTCTTCAATAGACTGAGTATCTGGAAAGGACGGAGTAAACAGGATCGCTCTACCACTTTTCAGTTTTAGAGAAAGAACAGACAGGACTTTACCATCGAGGCGGCCTGTTCGTTAGTGTCAAAGTGGGGCGCCATGGCGAGGCGTGCGTATAGATCAGCAAGGAAGCGAGGTGAGAAAACAGGGCGATTAAGCAATGATTCTGACCTGTTGAGAGTCTCTTGGAGCAGCTCAATAACCCCATTTCCGTCACCTAAATCAGCGTATGCCGAAAGCATATCCTCGGTAGCCATCATCGAGGGCCAATAGCTCAGCTTCGACATAACATCTTGCGTTGTTGCGACTTCATCTGGCAGTCTAGGAAGCAAAGTTGTTCAAATTCTTAAACAGGCCAGATCTACTTCAACGCTAAAGAATCACGATTGCAGTTTCCAACTAACCCACACTTAACGTAGCCATGGAGAATTTTGGAGAATATATAATCGTTAGGAACAGCACCTTCCTGATGCATGGCTTTAAGGTAAAAGCTTGTTTCCTCCATGTCACCCCTTTCACAGGACCTTCGGATAAAAACCGAGAAGAACATCTGCATTAAATGAGATATGTGCAAGTGCAATCATACCGCATCGGGTTTCAGCCCGAGAAGTTTGAGATCAGCTAGCGTACTTTCATAGGAAAATTCTTGATCAAATTCGTATTTTAAATGCAAAAATCGCGCGATTGTAGATACTTTAACAGCCTTATCTGTGAAGAAAATCGTCAGCAAATTCGCACAACAAACCTGCAAGAACCTTGTTCCAAATATCACTAAAATAGGTTCTTTGTTGAGCTGCGTCCATTATCCTTATGTTCAAACGATTACGCTCAGCCACTTGTAATTGCACAAAGGCACTGCTCACGTCATCTCCGTTAAATAAAGGTCTTTCTTCGCGATTACCTAATGTCGAGAAGACAGTATAGCGCACACTGGTCAGCGCGGGAATGGGAAAGGGTAAACTTGGTTGGTTTCCAGAAAATCGAAAGATTCTGGATTGGACGACATGAGATACAAATGTAAGGACAGGACGATGACGCAAGGAGTGCATACTTCACCGACGACGAAGCGTGCTCTACCAGATCCAAATTAGAGAGCAAACGACTACAGCACTTAAAGAATATTTAAAGCCATTTAGAAGAAACCACAGGAATTAGGGGAATTAAGATAAATAATAGTGCTGTTTTTGTGATAAATTCCAATGGCACTTGTAAATGCAAATAGTCTGCCTGACAATAGTAAAATTCTGAAATTCAAAATATGATATAAAATATCAGTGGGACAAATCCTGTCGAATGACAGATAGGCCAAAAGTTAGGCGTATAAGCACATGGAGAAATTTTGCCATTTCGCATGATGCATAATTACCAAATCACATACGTCTATGGCTCATTATTTCCTAGTAAACTTATTGCAGCTGGTATCCAAAAGATGTCATATAAAAACCGTGCGGTTAGCTTGCTCAGTTTGACACCATACCAGCCATGTGCATCTGCAAAATGTACGTCGAAAACAAACTGAAAGTCTCCAATTTTTATTACGGAAAATTTCGGGATTCACAATTAGTACAAGTTGTCTAACTCTTCTGTAATACGATGGTGGTTTATCCCTCGGTTCCGGTGAGGCGCCACTTCTGCACTTTGAATGAGCCCCCTTGTACCCGGCTGGGTGGGCTGGCCTTTTGGGACATGCCAATAGCCCGGGCACCTTCTCCGTGCTGAATATATATTCTGCCCGAGCATTTCGTCTTCTTTCGTCTTTAGGGAGTCTCGGGACGCTACACTTCTGTCAACCAAATATATGAAAGCTATTGAAGTGGGTTTTGGATAGTAAAATGGCACTCAATCAGCTTTTTAAATAAATAATAGATGAATACGCTTTGAATTGGAGTACCTTGGCTTTCCCAAATTGAGTTATAATCTCTCCTTAATGCTCTAAGAATTTTATTGTATAAGCTAATTTTAGATACTGAAGGATTGTGTTATGGTTCTCTACTCCAAGGTCTATCATCCTAGGTATATCCTATTTGAAGGTACTGTATTGATTTTATCCCTTGTTTGATTAGGGTTATTTACTCGAGCGCTTCAGTCTCTACAGGAAGCGTCCTTTCCCTCATATGTGAATCTCGGACCGTACCAGTAGCCTTCCAGCCCTTTTGCGCTCTAGTGTAATACGACAGTGGTTTATCCCTCGGTATTGGTGAGGCGCCACTTTGTACTTTGTAATTTGAATTAGGCTGTCCTTTCGGGCCATGCCAATAGCCCAGACACCTCTGCGCTGAATATATATTCTGCCCAAGTACTGTGTCTTCTTTCGCCTTCAGGGAGTCTCGCGAAACTGCACTGGTGTACTGCCTTGACTTATTACATCCACAGCGAAGACCGGGCTCGCTTGTTGACCCTCCACTAATAGAGCTTTTCAGGTTCACATGTAGATGTCGTTCTTTTTTAGAATTACTACCACTCGAAAAAGAAGTTTTAGAGTTTCGCCATGTTAATCGACCGTTAAATGCGAAGTCCATCGCTAACCTGTTTGCTACTGTAAGATTGAATAGCACTGTTTCCAGCAAACTAGTAGTTAAATTACTTTCAAGGCAATTCCAACTTTTATTGAGACTGGTGTTAATACTATGCTAGTAATGTGCATCGAGTTCCAGCATGAACGCTGCCTAATCCTACTGATGAGTGTGCATGCGCCTCAGACCTGGAGGGCTGTTATTCTGTCTTGCAGCAACCTGTAGCTTCATAGTATATCTTACTACTCCGAACGTTGGACTGGTGACAGCATGAGGGGAACCTGGTCCTGACTTTATTGACTGGATTTCAAGATGTAACATTTAAGGAGGGTATCTGCCGCGGGCTACTAAATCCTCGATTCCCAGCAGAAAAGTTAGGGAATTCTACCCTTATCAATTGCCTCAACCTCACGTTTCCTAAGAGGGCCATCGAGTCCTAAGGCAGACTTGGTCGAATGCCATAAGAAATTCAATCGTGAAGCCCTGTGCAGTAACTATATGATTGTTTTAGTTGAACGAAGTGTACCTCTTTAGAAGATAGAGGTAACTCAGATAAATGGTCTGTTAGTACCAACAGTGATGACACAGGGCCTAAGATGGGTCGATGTAAGATAATAGCGCCTCAAAGTTGCCTCGAATTCGCTCTCTCGTCACCCGACTCTGCTTTTGGACACACGTTCCAAGGGGTAGTCAGTGGCGCACACGTGTTCGTTATATGCAGCATTGCCCAGCCCTGAGCAGTACAAGGCCAAAAGATCCTTCTTCCATTAACCCGGTTCAAAAATAGGTCTGGTCTCCAGACTTGATGGAAGTGTCGAGGTGCATTGGTAACGTTGAGAATAATCATATTTTCACACAAAAAATTTAGTGACTGGCGTTTCTGGCCTGTGCGCCGGCTACGGTGTAGTGGCCGATGCGGTAAATTGACCAAGATGGGCGTCCAGAATGACCCTTAAAACCAAAAGTGGTTAATGTAGTGGTTTAATATGTTGGTTAAGTGTATTTCTGCTTTGTGACGTGGTTATCAGGCCATGTCTGTAGCAGCTAAATCCTTTTGATGGCTAATGGTAGATCTTCCTCCGTACTAGTTTCCTTACCACGACTTCAGAGAAGGTTCAGGAAGTCTCAAAGGTTTCTATTACGTGTAAAGGTTTACTAGATGCATAAAATAATTTACCAAACAAAACTTAAATATTAACCTTTTCTCGCTGTGGCATATTAGGGCGACTTCCTGACCGTCCAAACCATTGGGCTTTAGTATAGGCGAAACTGGTTCTGCATACATATTCGTGTCCCTTGTTTGAGTTTTGTACGACGTCGTGTCTTTCATATACTACCACTCTTTAACTTTACTCAGAGTAACCAAGTACGACATTACGTTGTCCTTAGTTGACAGTAAATTAGTCCAAATTACTGGAAACTTTGATAGAGGTAGGCTAGATGGTCTCATACTTATAACCGACCACTGCCGTAAATCCGTTTGCGTACCGGGATATAGAGCTTTAAACGAGTGATGGAAAACCTATTTAAAGCTCTGAAATGCACTGACGGTCGCCGCTCTTGCTTCATAAACTCTAAGAACGGGTACTTGAATTTATTTCAACATGGTAATTCTCCCATGAACTCATCCAAGTTATGAGAATACTGTGCTCTGGAGAAAATGGAAAATCGTCTTACAGCGTTATAATCAGAAAGTAGAAGGCAATTTCGCTAAAACTATCCATTAAGTACTTCTGATAAAGTGTTTTTTGACAAAAGGCTCGGGTCCAAAGGCAGGTACAGCACCTTAAGATGTAAGTTTCAGCAAATTATCATGCATTGGTGGTCAACCAGTTAAAATGATTAACTCTTCGTTATGAGCTCGCGGACACTTAAGGCGCCGCCTTTTCCGCTGGGAGGCATGGCCTCCATACTATGCCAGTAGCCCTATTTCTTCCCTAGTATTATGTCTCTAAGGCGAGGCGTTACAACACCTCATATGTGTAAGATTTTGTCAACACTGTTGCCTATTCGAAGCCTTTTAAAAATAATAAAAAATAAAGAATAGAAGATAAATGCTCGGCATGCCTCTGAACCGGTAAAAAATAAAACTGAATTGCGATGTTAATAAAGCCCGCTTCTAAAAACATTTTTTTCTGCTAGTGCATTTTAAGGAGAAGCGAAATTGCATCTGCATGCAAAAAATAGTCCGTCGTTTTCGCTCGAAATAAATATCATCACTCACTTTTGCATTCCTCAAATAGATTTTCCTACATTTTTGTAAAGCGAACAACCAGGTACAGTGTGTGTGAAAAAAAAGAAGCCTTTATGGCAATTCCAGGATTTTGCGAGTGATTTAGTCGGCCTCCTTTTTAGCTCAAAAATAAAAAGGGTGTATGTGTTTATATTAGCATACTTAACATAAAAGCACGCATTTGTTAAAAAATTGATCTAGAGAAGCATTAAATACCCTACACCTGTCAATCGCTTTCAGATTATCGACCGTGATTTGATATTTTGCTTAATTGTATGCTGAACTGAGGTGTACCTCAGTCCTCGCAGGTTGCGCTTTGGCTCCGCAGCATGATCTTCAAGCCATGCGAATCACCTCCCAACCCTTCTGTACTTAAGCAATATTGCAAAGCTCCGAGTCTTCCCTGAAATTAAAATAAAATATAATACTCGGACGAAATATGTATTGCCGACGTGCAGAAGGGCTAGGGGACGAAAGCACAAAAGCGGATCCTTAAGTGCCCGTAAAACCTATGCGAAGAGCCAAGCAAGTTATCAAGGTACTACAATGTATATTCTTCCACATTTTGGCTTTTTACGATTTCAGGGAAGACTTCACTTAATTTATTTGCAGTAAGATAATAAAAATGATAGATTTTAGAGCAATTATTGGGTAAACAATAAACTGCATTCTGTGATTATTATGCGCAAAATTCCTCCAATTTGTTAAAGACATCAGTGCAGTGCCTAAAAAGGCTATTGTACGGATTACAACAAATAACAATGTGAAACCAGAAATTAAATTTTCTTTAACGGTTAAGGGTGTTGCCCCAGTTACCAGATCCATCGAACTCCGGCTTCCTGTGACTTATGTGATTTAGTTGGACAAACGCGATTTATACAATATCTGCGTAATTTGGAGTACAAGTATTGACGTTTGCTAAATAATGATGCCCAAAGTTTGTAGGTTGTGGGATTGCTTGAACTTTTTGAAGGTGAAGTTCATCTAACTACTTTTCAATCCATTGTCGCATTTGCATAAATTATGTCCTAAAGAGTGTTATCAAAACCTGACTTGCGAACTTAAAATGTGATGAAATTAACTGTATTATGATTAGGCTTCTTCGTCATTCAAACACAATGGCAGATGATCAGCTTGAAGTCTTTCTTAAATGTTGTTGACTTCCCAACAAATAAGTAGAAATATCTCGAAAAGTTACTTCCTTTGAACTTCTTCTTAGGTATACTAAATTCCCTTGGTAATATGGCAATCTCATAGCCCTCTAAGGATAGAGGCAGGTTCTCAAAAGATACTTATGGAAGGGTTGCCTTCATTAATTTGTTGCTTGGTTTTCTTAGGGAAAGCAAATGCCATCCATACGGTTTTCATTTAAAGTAGATGGAGACCATTTAACATTGAGCTCGTTACAATTTATCAACTTAATTGGAGTTTACCACGATTATCACCCCCTAAATCTGAAATGTTTTTATAGTAACCTTTAATCACCTGTTCTGATGTAAACATGAACGACATGTGTATGGCTCTCTACATCGTGATAAGTTCGTGGGGTTCGTTACAAAAAATAACCGACTTTAGGAAGCTACTTGGAGGACGGGATTGGTTAGTTGAGTACTATACTTCCATACAACCTATGATTCAACCCTTACGAAAGGTTACGCCACTATCAACAAAAAGCTCAACCCTGACCAAGGCCCTTTCCTTTTATTTTTAACCTTCCATTTCACGTCGTATGCAATTATGCGATTATCTAGCGCGAATTTCAAGGAAAGATGATAAAAACTAAAAGAAATATGAGCTTAGTACAAAGGGTGAGGATGAAGGTGAGGCGGTATCGCCTTCCAATTTTGACTAAAGTGAAAGTATTCTCAAGGGTCATCCTTCCAGTATGAGACTTTGCGTGGTGTTGTCGTGAATATTAGGATGCTCTACCAACCAACTGGAAGTTTTTTTACCCACGTCAGAATCGTATCATATAAGTATGTAGATATCACCAAGATTACATGCACAAATACAGGAAAATCGAGCATGGTTTCCGGAGTATGAAATCATGTCTTGGAAATGTAGAGTGGGTGGTGAATCTTATGGGTCTAATTAACTGTATAGATGTTCGCATAAAGCTTTAATGCAAAAGCAATTACCTATCACAATTCAGTTGGTTAGCAAAAAAATCTCAAAAACGAAGCAATTAAAGATACGGGAATGAGGCAAAGAACAAATTGGCACTTACTGAATTATGTTATCCTCTGTTAATATAAATGGAATGCAAATACTGGAGGCGTCAACAGATTGTTTTATCAACTACGCTGAATATGTAATGGAACAATGCAACTTTGAATGAAACATCACTAGAGTTAAATCGATGAAGACCTTGGCTTCTTAAAAGACCTTTCGGCTCTTGCACCTACTCCAAGTGCTGGACTTCAATTTTAAAGCGAAACCTCTTCAAATTTTGAACTAAGTTGAAATCCGTAAAGTGAAGACGTTTCAATTACATCAGATTTAACAGGCATTTTATGGCACGAAAAAATAAGAGTAAAAAAATGCCGAACTGAATAAGCGGTACTGTGAACTCACGCACCTTTCGCTTTCTAATATATGGGTATAAAATTGGCATTAATCTAGCAGGTCTCTACAAGTTGAGACAAACCACAATAGCTGTCTAAACTGCAACACTTCAACTACTTTTAAATTCTATGTTTTGGTTACAAGGGCACTTGGGTCTCCGCCAATGTACAATAGCCGGGCAATCTGGCCTCCGGGCCATCCCAGTAACCCAAAGCCATTCTTTGCGTCAACAATACATATTCTGCCAAGTACTATGCCTTTTTCCTTTTTCAAAAGGGTTTTTGGGCGCTATAAAACCTTTCAATAGCACCTCAAGTCTTTTTTTGAATAGTCAGGCTTTGCATAATTTAGCGGAACTTAGATCTGTTACAGCTATCGAAAAGTCGTTGGAAAATCCCTTCCCGACCCATTAGAATTATTTCCAAATAAATGTTTCCCTTCAAAGTACCACGAGAAATACTTTTGACCATTAACTGATTTTGAGAAGTCATTTTATGCGATCATTTATTTGCAATGAACAATCTCTTTTCATCTTTACCTATAAAATGCCGACAACGTTTGCTTAAATTTTTACAATTTGAAATTTCTCCCTAAAAACATATGCAGTTAATCATAAAATATTCTGTTTAAATTTTTGTATTTCGTTTAATTTGTTTTAATCAACGCTGAGAATAACGGCAGTCAAGGTGTCGCTTTAAACTTAAATACGAGTTTATTTTCTCAGCTAAACAGGCAGTTGATAAATTCCGAGGACTGCAGGAAAAGGGAATAAGAAGAGGCACAATTGGGTAAAATAGTAGCAATTTAACAGGCAAAACCCTTGAAGAATGCCGCATCAATACTCCGCACAAGCTTGCAGCTGCAAAAGAGGTAGAATGATCTGGCTAGGGGTAGAAGGACAGTAAAGTCATGTATTTGCTTCAGGTTTACTTTATTTTGAGTAGGATTAAAAACCCTGCAGAAATATACCTTTGTCTTCACGCTTTGCCACAATCAAGACAATGCGTACAATTTGTGCCAATGTTAAGGGTTTTCACACATCCCGGTCTTTCACTTCCCATTTACCCGTTTTCTTTTCTATACTATTTTAATTGCATATTGCATACCATGAGCAAAGTGGGATGGAGTTCATGTGCTTGCACAAGGTTTAATGTAATAAATGGACGGTTTCATTTGCAAATTTTTGCGGGTCGCACGGTTGGTTTAAAGTACGGCAGAAGCCAGTCACAAATGTGCCTATAACTTCACAGTGTTGAGGAGAGGAAGTACCACTTTCAGGGTCAAAGGAGGTCAAGCAGGTCATCAACTAAATCAGTAGGGTTTTTGGTATATTCTTTTTGAATCTGATTAGGTAATGTACGAAAATTTTACATTTCTACTTTGCGTAGAGACAAGCCGAAGGCTTTTAATAAAAGGTGAAGTCTTTAATTAGACGATCAGCAATGTGCTAAAATGCATAGCATGTGGTCGAAGGTAAGTTGTCCCAAGCCACATAAGTGTAGTACTTTGGTTGCTTGTTTAACGCTCGCTGTTGGTAAAGGGGCCACTTAGGTGCTCTGACATTGTACTTTTGTCGGGTGGGCTGGTCTCCGAGCCGTGTCAGTAGCCCCAAGCCCTACTGTGTGTCGAATATATGCATTCTGCCCTGGTATTGTCTTCTTTTGTCTTCATGGAAGTCTTAATACGCTACCAATGTCCTCAAGTGGTATATAGGTGTAGAGATGCCACAGAAATTCGGAAGAAGCCATTTGATTAGCTTAATTAATGTTGCCTAAATAGAAGAACTTAGTAAAATTGTCCTCCAGAATTGTTTTTTTTTTCATGTGGTGACTAATTAAACGAAAAAGACCAGTAAACCATATGGGCATAAAGGTTAAAAGTATAACCATTAAAGTTAATAATAAAGTCGAGTGGCTTACTTGTTTTTAGATGGCAGTGTATCGGTGGTCGTTCAAGTGCTCAAAGTCATAGCGGACCGCAAATTCATGCAGTAGGTTGCGTGAGGCACGAATTGGAAGGCGGTGATTAATTTGGTCGGCCAAAAATTGACATGAATCAATCGAAATTTCATCAAAAACCGTTTTAGATTCGAAGAAGTCAGCACTAAGCCATACCTGATTCGCCTCAACGTAATGGGCCAAGGGGTTGAACGAATCGTTCGCCCCCTTCTGAGGAGGTATCATAATATTTTTACCGCCTGAAGACGGCTTTTCTGTTACATTTTAAAATTAATTTAGTGTGGGCGGATTTGAGGTTGATGATTGGCCAAAGCACTCGTTTAAAGTTGAGTTTTCTGTCACCTTGGCTGTATTCGAGGCGGTGCTTCCAACAGTGGATACAAGCTAATTTGATGATTTGCTTGTAAGCATAACTTCATGCCTTTCGGTAGAAAATGATGTATTCCTTTTTAAATGTTCCCCCTTCATTGTTGCTGGAGAGACAGTCGTTGCGACCGACTCGGTCACCAGTCCAGAACTTGTCAAGTTACTGACAGATTTATTTTGTATTGACTTTGACGAATCAGAGTTTTCCTTTTCAGGATGCATTTCAAGAGTCGAAGAAACATTGGTTTCATTAGAAGCCTCAGTAAAAAACTCAGTTCGTGCTTGTTCATCTGAATACTGTGTTGATAAAAATTCACTTCTTTTTTCCCAAGGAAGCTCAACAGCGGACAAAGTTTTTACAAAGTTGGCATCTAAATAAGTGCACTCTAGTATTATAGAGCCAACTATTCCAAGCCAGTATTCTGCTATTCAGGCACATCCAGTCCATATGATCTAATTTTGAACCTTAATTATGGCTGTATATGCATTCATTACGATTTCGCATTATCTGACAATTGCATATGAGTGCTTACGTGCAAGGCTGATTGCAGACTGCGCAGTTGCTTTAAAACGTCATACCAAAAAGCAAAATATAAACCAGTCCTTCTTTTTTAGAAACGTAGACATTAATCATAAGAAGATTATAAAGTTGCCTCAAGCTTGGTATAAAGGGCTGAGGTACATTTCAGTAAGCATAATCGGGTTATTTAAAATAAGTAACAGATAGAGACGATTGTGATTTCTTACTTTAAATCAAGAGGCAAACTCTAGTTGGCTTTAATATTGCCCCAAAAGAGTCCATTTAAACATCATCATACTAGACCCAAAGAAGAGTGTCACTACAACAACGCTCGTTAAAGCATTCGACCAAAAAATAATGCACATTTTAATCTGTTTTATTTAAAACTGTGATAAGAGATCTTCATTGCAAACTTATCAGCACTATTTTGGAAAAAGAATATGTTAGAAACGAGACAGTGTTGGATAGAGGTGGAGGCAGCAGCAGTAGTTGGGTAGGCTAGAAGAGACGGGTTAAATTTTAAAAGCTCTCAGAAATGTCCAATAACGGTGGAAAAGTATAAAGACGAATGCTAAACTGATAAAGTCGCTTTGTAATATTTGGGTTTTGTTTTAGCTCTCAGTTTTGGTAAGGTGCCACATGGGGGCTCCCCCGAGCAACATAGTCTCCGGGCCATGTCAGCAGCCTCCAAGCCCTTCTGTAGGTTGACATTACATGTCATGTCCGAGTATTATGACCCCTTTCGTTTTCAGGGACGACCCGGGGCTCTACATTGGTGCCAGCGGAAAGTGAACCTGATCTTACATAACAACTCTCCTGATTTCCACCTCGGGGTGATACACCTTAGCGTGACGGAAAAGTGCTTGTGCTACGGATGGGAGAATCTGTGTGCAGCCCCACCAAGAGGGGATGGGGGCTCTTGGCATGGCCCAGGGTCGAGGGCGAGTAGAGAAGGTACAATGGCGGAGCTCTCAAGTGGCGCGTTACTAAAACCGAGAGTTAAAACAGGCAACTAGTGTATTACAACTATGCACTTGAGGTATCAAAATTGGCTTTATTACATAACAACCAAATAAATGAAATATGCCATCTCCCATATTCACATCTGATTTACGAAACACTGACCCATTTTACGTGTACTTTACGCTATCTAAATTTTAGTAAAACCCAAAAATTAACGCTTTCACATACCAATGACGAAGAGAATAACGATGGGTGATGCGATCATTGTGGGTGGAACAAATTTTCCACTAACGACAGGGGAAGGCTGTTAATCTGGGTGCGTTTATATACTCTCACTTTGTGCGATATTCGGGAAAATGTAAAGTATACGGGCATTTTGATATGCAAGTATTCCAAAAGGTGAATGTGATTTATGCGCTCAGGAAAAAACAGCAAAACTAGTAAAAATTTACCGGCTTTAAACAAGACTCCGTGTGTCATGATTTGTTTTTCAAGTGATTTCTCAAGAAAAGACTCTAGGTTTGTTTTTTTTCTTATTAAACATATTAATAACGGCCTCGTGTCTTACAGTGGAAATCTAACAAATTGCCGCACAAGCAGTATTTTTTTCCTGCAAAATTTTTACTTTCCTCAAAATCCTCATTTTAAGAATAAACGTGCTTGAAACACTCTACGTATTTCTCGAAATGAATTCGCCACAAGTACATTAGTTATAAAGTTCAAAGTAAATCAGTCAGCAATTATTCGGCTACGTCTAAAAGTACTATCTAAAATCTTGGGCCTCGTTGATATTAGTCTGGTTCCCTATAAGATTAAAACAGGCCAAGATTAATCTAAATAACTTAACAACACTTTTACCAGTTATTCATCTGTATTAAAGGATAAAATGCAAACATTCCCATAATTATCTGCATAAGATAACATGTGTCAGACTAGGTGAACCCCTCAATTTCATAATAATTGCAATCATTGCTGTTCAAAGGTTATTCCTTAAAAAAGGTAAAATGTGCTATCACGTCTCGTAAATATTGTGGAATAGGCTCGGTGTTTCTCGTTTCCACCACAGCCTTCATAGCCTTGGAACAGGCAGAGGAGTTGGAAGAGGGCATGCTTTATGGAGTAGTGGTAAATGAAGTGGGAGGCAATGGCGTCCGATCCATCACATGGTTCGTATTTACCGACTGCCTCTAGCCTAAAAGGTACATTAAACCAAACATGTATTGCAGCTCTTATGCTGGTAAATTTTATGCATCTAAACTTAGCTAAGCACAGAGTTACTGAACTTTGAGGCGCAGTGTCTATCCCAATCTATTTTCAAAGAGAAAAATCTTCTGCAAAGTTGGTAAGGAATCTGTCATTATATTACTTAGCGTATTTTTTTAATGCCAGCAATTTTTTTACTTTCCATCCTAAAAAATCAGCACATGGTACATATAATCTCTCATCTACATTGTTTTATAAGGAAAACAATAACCTGTTTCCAGATTTCCAAAATTTCCTGCATTTTAAAACTGTTGAATCATGAGAAAAATAGCTTTGCCCGCGATCTAAGACTCCTTTTTATAACACGCCCACTTACTTAATGGACTTTAAATACTTATTCAAATCACCGAATCAAAGGAAGTTGTGATGACATCGTTCCGTAACAAATAATGACAATTAGAGATCGACTAAGATTGGTTTCAGGTGAGCACTAGGATCTATCACTGTAGGCGTACTTGAGGTAGGACTTCAGAGTATGTGAATGGCATCATCTGGTCGCCATCTGTGGGAAGGGCGTCATAAACTTCCACCTACTTGACAATAAAATTCGTTAAGGTTTGTCTACAAGTTGTTCAGATTGCTACCCATGGCCATTTCGTGATATGCTGGAGGACACAAACATGCATGCAAGCCCCGAATAGAGTTAATTGTTGCACTAGTATGACTAGACATAGTGAACACTAAGCTTTACACTGTACGGGTATATAAAGAGCCAACTCTGAAGATAAAGGAGGTCTACGTAGGTCAGCCAAGTTAGGTTTGCACTGAGGCTCCTTAATCCATTCCAAACTATTAATATAATTAAACCCGCATTTCTCCTATCCTGATCGGCTGACCATACCCAAGGATTGTGATGGTTAATTGGAGCATAAGCCACCTACTTTAAAGCTTACTTTGTAAGGGGATTTTTAAGCCATTTCTCAATAATCCCATTGGATGCAAATTTCTTCTGCTGATCAAACATTTAGTCGAGGAACCGGAGTTCCAGAACTCAGTGGTTTAGCAAATGAATTGTAAAATTATTAGACAGTATTGCTCAATCGAATATTTGTGGCCAACATTTGCGTGTTTTGCAAGATTAGTCTAATGCAAACCGTGCTAAGTAATAGAACAAAAGGCTTTTTAGCCGTTTGACCTATCAGTGGTAATGTTTGACGCACAACACACTAAGAAACATGCAAAAGCCATACATGTTCGGGGGAAGACTTTAGTTACATGGCGAGTGTAGGTTTCGTAAAATAAATGAATAAGGACATAAGTTATGGCAGGAAGTCGATAAAAGCTTTACCACTCAGCCGTAAACAGCAACATTACTGCTCGGACATATTAAGCATAGCTGGTTAGTCATGGATATCCATTGATAGCAGGAATACCTCCATGAGAATTTCCGGAAAATCTTTCAATGTGGAACTCAAATGCGAGTAAGCATGAGCATCACTGATTGTAATCAGTGAAGGAACATAATGCTTTCTCCATTCAAGAACTGCAATCATAAAAAATTCTTTATGGCAATTACATTTCAAGTGATTTTTTTGTTCTACGATCCTTGGACACTTTGACTTTGTGCAGCATGTATTTTACTGATTAAATAACTTCTCGGTTCTTCTTTGTTGATAGTGAAATTTTTGAAGATTAGCATTAAGTGTATTTGATCGTTACGGAGAGTAATCATTAACTAGCATTGTTTACAGTCATCTGCACAGTTGAGACTGATCAGATACGAGATATACCTTTGGGCGGAGAAAACTTTAATGCAATGAATGCTAAAATGGTAATTTACAAAGTACAGTCTCATTTTTTTTCTTCCTCTTTAGCTGAATTTAAAGCCCCACTAAACTGACCCTTCATTATATCCGCTTCTGTAATAATTTTATTATTCTTTTAACTCTTTATTTTGGTTTAAAGGGGTACTCATAGCGCCGTCTTTGTACTTGCACTGGGTGGCATATCCGTCAAACCATGTCAGTAGCTCAACAGCCCCTCTGTACGTCGTCAATGCACTTACTGTTCTGGTATTATGACCTCTTCCAACTTCTGGAAAGACTCTGGGGGCTGCATCGCTGGCAACGGAAAATGAGCCCGATCCTAATGGACAACCCCTAGGATTTTCATTCCTGAATGCTAAACCTTACCTAAAAGGAAGCAGAGTATATACTACCGATAAGAGAAACTGTCATGACCCCTACTAGAATGGCTAAAAACGACATCGACCTCCGGTAATTACCTCAGTCCCGCTTTTTGTAGGAAAGTTAGCAAAAACTAAAGCGACACTAGCCGAGAGCCATCTGAAAGGTTTGGTACATAACTGTCTGGGGTACCTGGGTGAAGATGTCAATTAAGTGAACATGCGATACCTCGTCCACCTTTCTACTATCCGCATAGAACCCAAGTAGGTATAGCTAGGCAGCACTGAGGTGAAAACCAAGTAGCACGGACTAATAGACTCAAAACCTTATCCCCCCAAAACTATTTTTAACTCCATTCCTTATTAAACGACTCTATTTAAACCAATGTTCTTACGACTAGCAATAGGCACACTAGATAGCCAGCATATTCCCCTTTCCCAATACAGTTCCCAAAGAGGACGGAACTTAAGATCCAGTGGAACCGTCAGGATGAATCACTGGCGTTGCAATCAAATATCCTCTTAATTGCAGGCAAATTTGATGGTGACGGGTGTTTTTTCCACAGTGCCGATTACGTTAAGATGGCTGAAGCGGGAGGTTAACAAAGAAGTGTCGGGGACGACTTTTTAAAGAAAAGAAGGTCTATAGAATACTCTGATTGTTTGTCCTACTCTTTGTTTTAATCTTGCGGACAGCTAAGGCTCCACCTTTGTACTTTTGCTGGGCGGCATGTCCTCTGAGCCATGTTAGTAGCCGGCCAGCCCTCCTGTACGCCGGGAACCACATAGTCTGTTCTAGTGTCAAATCTTCCTTCCTCCTTAGGAAAGACTCGGGGCGCTAAGCTTCAAAAACGCAAAAATAGGCCAATCATTTAAATATATTCTAGGATTTTCTTAATTCAACGCTAATGGGTAAAGAGATCGACGTTTGTATGCGCAAACGTTAGGTTTGGTTTATTTGAATCTATAGATTGAATTTTTTCTTCAGACTGTTTCTAAGACGTGAATAAAAAAGGAAGTTTAAGGGTATCTCAATTGTTACGTAATCAAAGGACCTTGAAGGTTGTTGTTCACTGTCCCTTTTAACAATGCAGCCACCGTATAAATCGTTTGTCATAGATCCTGGCCAATGGAATTGCTAATTACAAAAGAGCTTAATCAGAAAATATTATACGGAAATGTCGTTGCTTTTTGCAATTATGGCTCATTTAAAGAGTACCTTATTTTTAATGAACGAACTTCTTGCCTTAAAATCCTGACTTCTTGGATTTTTTCCTCGTTAATTTAAATTCCGTAAAACAGACAGTTTGTGACTTTGCGGTTTGTCCGCTTGGAAGGGCATGCGAATTTGTATAAGGGGATAATGGCGAATAATTAATTAAAATATATCTGACACTGCCGACATAATAATCAGTAGAGCGATTTCGAAAAGCCGGTATTCTTTCATTCAATGAAATTTAATAAAAGATGTCAATCTCTGTGTATCATTTTGTTAAATGGTGTTCAGTTGTCCTGCCCATTATCCTAGGCTTCGATTAGACTGTAATTATTCCCATAATTCCACTTTTAATAAAGTTCTATTATAAATAAATGACCAAACCTGAGGGACGAAACCGAACATAGATAACACTCGAAGTAGTTTTTGAAGTGCAAAACTTGTTATGTTTAATTTATTCCACCTTCTGAATTGATATAAGAATCCTAAGGGCAAAAAACTGTTTGCCGAGGGAAATGACATTGCTATTTAGTAGCACTTAGCTTCTTATCAGGTTAATTGAGTAAAATGAAGCCTGAGCCAATTTCGCCTTCCACATTTCGTCGCAAGAACTATCGAGGAGGAGAAACTTGCCAATTCATATTAAAAATCCAGTTTAAAACAAGCAGAATCCCGGTCTAAAGGTAGGCAAACTAAAAAAACATGTACAATAGCCTGACCGCTTACTAAATACTCCCAATTTTTTACTTTAGCACAATATGTGCGATTCGAGTAAATCCCATCAACCGACCACTATTTACACAGACCTCAAAGATCCACTTGAAGATATTCAATTAATTGAAAGTCAGGCGATATTTCCAGAGGTGTTATAAAACGTCGATACAGCACAGAACTTTGGTAGAGCCAGGTTTACACAACGATACAAAAAAAACTTCAATGTTCACTCTTCTTGAGATCATTTTGCACCCCCAGGTCAGATCGACCTGTCTCCTGCAATTGAATATACGGAAGAACTTCCATTTCTCCATCACCAGAACATGTTTGAGACTCTATGTTTTTACGTGCCAAGTCGATATCGTTTACGCCGCTTGTTCTTAGCACCGCTTCTGCGGCAGCATCAACAGCAGTAGCGGCATCAAGGGCACCAACAGCACCCGATTTTACACGCCATTGTGGCACGAGGGTTCTCAGGTTGCGTCGGAAGGTCTCACTAAGCCAGGCGTAAAGCAGAGGATTATAGACGGCCGAGCTCATTGCGATAATATGGCAGGTCACGAAGATTGCGTTGAAATAGGGCAATGTGAAATTAGGGTCGTTGGTCTTGATATCACTGTATATCGACAGCGCATTCAGTGGAATCCAACACACCACGAACACAACCACCATGGCTATGAGCATCCTAGGCGAAGAGGAATGGATGGTCATTAGTCGAGTCAAAGGCAAACTTGGTTCATTTCTTGACTACCAGGTCTATATTTATTATATCCAAGCTAGGTCTTTAGTGGCAATGTTTTGGGAAGTTCTTTTGCCTATGTACGTAAAGGCCACCCCTGTAAGATATTTTTTGTGACTGTTTCCCATTGTATCAAATTTCATTGACATGCGATAGTAACTCATATAAGATGGTTTCTTTACACAAAAAACAACGTTTCTCTGTGTGAAATATTGTTACGGTAATACCGCTGGCACTCTGATCGACGTAGCATCTTTGATCACGTGGATCATCTAATTGGCCGAACTATCAACGATGAACTCCGTTATGCAATGCTTTATAAATTTTACAAAATATAAACTATATTTCCAAATAATGTGGGCCTGTAAGTATTCATTGAGTCAATTTATATCAATGATTAAATACGTAATATTTCGATGCAGGAAATATGAGGAATTAAATAGTCAAAATAAATTTTATTTCATAATTCCGAAAGCCATTGGTCGCTTTGACGATATTTAAGAGTGGTTTATTACCATATGGTACCGTTGGATGTTCCCATAAAATAAACAAAATTCTAAACATTTTCAGCAAATTGCTTCGTGAATGACCTTTGGAAAGATTAGTTCCCTCCGCGGAGTTGGTAATGAGAATATTAGAATACCTAATTGACCAAGTATATATCAAGTCCTACAAATCTCTTGCGATGCTTACTATTCAAGACCGAGTTAGGCTAACACAGAAGTGCATTTTTTACCGTTGATTCTAAATCAACAGTTGTTTCCCAGCAGCTTTTAATCTGCCATAATAAAATGCCTTTTGCGGAAACAACTTTATAGAAGGCAACTTTCCGCATTTCATTACAAGTACGTTGTAGCAATTAAGGAGAGGGGCTTTTGATCTCAACAAAAAAAGAATGTACAAACTTTGTTCGGGTTTCTTCTGTAGGACCCTTGCAATTACTACAGGGATACACCGATTCGCTTGAAATAGGCGGAGAGTGATTGATGATGAGAGCAGCTAAAAAGGCAACACTGCCTTCTGATTGCGGAAAGTGAATTTTGCTTTAATATAAGTTGTAGTAGTATTTAAGGGTAGAGATGGAATTTTATCTTGACTTTGCCACCCCATGTGCATCTGGTGATATTTTGATAACCGCGACCATTTATTATCGAAGCAACAATTGATTTTATTGAGTAGAAGAGGAAATTTCCCCCATCGCTAGTTGGGTTGGTAGGTG